CTCCTAAGGGTTCTTTGCAATGTAATACAATCAAGGTAAATGGCACCAACATCCATCTAGTTCCACACATGACAAATTTGTCAGTTTTGACACCTTCCTTTTCCTGTTTTGAAATGGGATGTCACTAGGTCACTGAGGATAGCCTCAAACTCTGCAGATACATGCCACACAACTAGTTTATCTTCCCCCATCTAATCCATATGCATCCTTGTTGACTGCATGCTTTTTGCAATTCAACTCTCCCACTCTGCTACATCTGTTATCAGGCCTAACCTACCTGGTCTCCCACATGTTCTCAATAATACACATTTCAAATTCCAGGAGCCTGGTTTTTGCCTCCTTCTCTAGCTTCATCATAGAAAACGTGTTATCCATCAAGTATCATTTGGTTTCAGCCTCCCCCAATCTAACTCCTTCAGGGATCTGTTCTCAGTATCTCAAAGGACTCTATACCTGAACCATCCCCAACTTCAATCCAGTTTAAACTCCAATTTTCAAATTATTTCTTATTAATCTGTTCTTATTTTGAAAATACAATATGGGCAGGGATCCAATTTTTGCTACCCTGTATACTACTTGGAAAATCAGCATGTGATACTGATTAAATGAATACTCCATCATGATTAGCTTCAGTACTAAGTCATATCCTTGATTTTGATAAATCAAACTGATATTTACTTATCTATGCAAATTTGAAATGCAAATCAAAATTGATTTAAAGGCATCATTCAAAATACAAATGCATGTTGGGATGGGGATGTAGTTCAGTCAGTGGTAGAGTGCTTGCCTGGCATGCCCAAGGCCCTGGATTCATCTACAGCACGCAAGAAAAAGAATTAAATAGTATGTGTAAAGACAAAAACAATCACTGGAGGCAGTGGCAGGAGGATCACAAGTTTGAGGCCAGCCTCAGCAACTTAACACTCAGTTAAAAAAAATAAATAGAAAAAGAAAGGGGAAGGATATATTGCCCCTGGGTTCCATCCCAGTACTGCATCCCCCACACACACCCCAAAAAAGGGAGAAAAACAAAGATTACCAATGTAATATTGGGAGGGGCTGGAATCTTACTTACTATGTAGCTCATTAAATTTGATACAGTAGGTATACAACAGAAATCAGAGAAGTACAGAAAGTTAGAAGACTTGTGAAGGCGGGCACGGTGTATCCAAGCAGCTTGGGATGCTGAGAAAGGAGGATTGCATTCAAACCAGCTTCATCAGTTGATTGCCCAAGTTCAATCCCTGGTACCTGCCCCCACAAAAAAAAAAAAACCCTAACAGCTACTAAAACTGAATTAAAAAAACATAAAAGTTTGTGGGGGCTGGAGTCTTGGCTCAGTGGTAGAGTGCTCATCTAGCATGCATGAGGCACCGGGTTCGATCCTCATACCACATAAAAATAGTGTCCACTTAAAAAAACTAAAAAATAAATATTAAAAAATAAAAATAAAAGTGTGTAGCTTTCTCTAGCAAGATCAGGCAACATTAGGAAGTCCTTATTTGGGATTAGTCTAGAACTTGATTGCGAGTGCGCTACTGCTTGAGCCACATCCCCAGCCTCTCCCCACCATTTTTAAAAAAGCATTTTATTTTTAGTATACATGGACACAATCTTTATTTTTTTAAATATTTACTTTTTAGGTTCAGATGGACACAACGCCTTTACTTACCTTATTTTTATGTGGTGCTGAGGATCAAACCCAGGGCCTCGCCCGTGCTAGGTGAGCACTCTTCCACTGAGCCACAACCCCAGCCCCACAATCTTTTATTTTTATGTGGTGCTGAAAAACGAACTCAGTGCCTCACACACATGCAAGGCAAGCGCTCTGCCACTGAGAAACAACCCCCCCCAACCTTTTCCCTTTTTGAGGTAGATCTAACTTGCTGAGCTGGCATAGAATTTGTGATCCGAATGCCTTGGCCTCGCAAGGTTCTGGGGTTACAGGTGTGCCCAACTGCACCCAGCAAATACTATTCTATGTGATTGTTTTAAAAATTATATTATTTTTACATTACAGGCACATGCCTGAAGTCCCAATGACTCAGGAGGCTGAGGCAGGAGGATTGCAAGTTCAAGGCCAACCCAAGAAACTTAGCAAGACCCTGACTCTAAAATAAATAAATGAGAATGGGACGCAGCTCAGTGGTAAAGTGCCCCGGGTTCATTTCCCACCACACCTCCCAAACAAAATAGTAAGTATTTGTTTTATTAGCAATACAGTATATTCAATAAAAGTCAAACTATCACCTTAATTTACAGATGACATCTCTTCAAATGCCTGAGATCTACTTAGCTTTTTTGTTTTTGCCTAAGGGGAAAAAAAGAAGCTAAAAAGCTAAATTTTCTTTATATTCCCCACATACTCAAGAAAACCCCAGAGGTGGGCTGGGGATATAGCTCAGTTGGTAGAGTGCTTGCCTCACATGCACAAGGCCCTGGGTTCAATTCCCAGCACCACAAAAAAACAAAACAAAAAACACCCAGAATCCTAAACAGACTTTACAGTTCTCCACCCTTGTTTTGAAGATAAAATTCCACACTCCCTGCTCCAGAAACAAATAAACAATCAAAAACATGAAATTACAACCAGAGAACTAGAGAGTGGGCAAAACATAAAATGATTAAAAAGTAAATTCAAGTAGTCATGACATACGCCACCTGGAGAAAACGAAACCAGTCCTGCTTTTTAGTAATTTTATTATTTTTTCTAATATTGTTACTTTAATTTCCCATAGCACCTTGGCAACGTTGAAAACAAATACAAATACAAGGATGTACGTATTTTAACATTTTATGCAAGAGCATGTGTCACCATTTTTTGGAGGGACAATTCTGACAACAGTAACAAACCTAAGCAATGGACAAACTAGAAAGCCAGATAAATGGTTCTGATCACCCAACCCCCAACATTTAAGATATGCCATTCAAGGGACATCTGAAACAGTTTTTATTTTTTTTTAAAGGGAAAAAAAAATAAGGTGATATGGATAATTCTTTACATATACTAATCAGTATGCTGCGCTAAAAAACTGAAAATAAAAATATTTAATACACAACCTGTAGATATCTGAGCTGCACTTTTAGGAGATGTCTACCATAGACTAATAAAAACTTCTTATTTTTAAAAATAAAATCATTTAATAATCAGGTGATTTTCAAAAGAATTTATTCAAGTTTAAAACAAAATTTCTTTTAATTTAAAATGTCTTCATTCAGCTAATGAAATGAAATGTCCACGTCTTCTTCAAAGATCAGACTAGCTACAAAAACATGCAGAAAAAATTCTAAATTTGAACTAGTAGCCATCATATTTAAAGAAATATATATATATAAAAGAGGAAAAAATCCATCGTATATTATATCTAAGAATAAATCCCTCAAAAGGAGTTCACTGTCCCTCTTTTTGAGTTTCACCTTTTCCATAAAAAAAGACCAACTTAGTTCTTTTAAAATATAGTTATATATATTGCCAATACAAATAAGAGTGTTAACCCCAGTGTTTTTCAACTGTGTTAAGGTAAATCAGTAGACATTTAAGCCAAAAGACTAATTAATTATTAAGGCCATAACTAATAAAAACTAGAGAAAATGTTCAGTAACTTTTAAATACTACTTCCTGTTCCAGCAATATTCTTGTTCTCATTTACATTAGTGAAGAGACTATATTCCATCATTAAACCTTTTATAAAGCAAGTGTGGTTATTTAAAAAGGAAAGGAATGTGAAACAATATTCAAACTAAGTTAAGAAACTTTAGGAACCAAAAATAAATTAGTTTTTGTTTGTTGTTGTTTTTTGTTAGTTTTAATTCGAAGAGCTGGGGATCAAACCCAGGGCCTTGCTAAGAGCTCTACCACCTAGATGCATTCCCCAATCTCTGCAGGAAACAAAAATAAATTAGAATTCTTTTTGTCATTTGATCACCTGCAAATTAATCACAAGAGACAAGAACTACTTCTTATCAATCAAAGATGAATGTTCCTTCAAAATGAGGGTGAAAAATATTTAGATTGGATCATTATTTTAAATGCTAGTGTCTATATCTGGCAAAACTAGGATGATCAACATTGGAGACAGTTCCTAGATATTATAAAAGTCCTAATTATCAGGTAGAAAACGGAGGCAGGTTTTGCAATGTCTCTATGTACCTTCTACATGAAGTACAAAGTGATCAACTTGTATGACTTTTGTTCTTTATGCAGTTAAGAACTGTGGCTGATCACTGTATCATACATTCAATATAATTCTATCTACTTACAGCCTCCAGCAGTTCAAGGAAAGTTAGGCCAAAAGGATGAAGAGAAGGAAAAAAACTGAGATTTCAATCATTCTATCTTCAGAAGCAATAAATAGTTGAAGTATAATAAACACCCACCTTCATCAGTTAAGAGTAATGCTGGGAAAAAAGCCAACAGTTTCACACAACTCACTGGCATCACTTAATATAAACATTAAGCCTGTTGCAATAAAATAAATGCTAAACACATTCTGTGAATATATATATTACACACATATATATATATGCAAACACACACACACTCTCCCCTATACATCCCATCAAATGGCAATGATTAGATGTAATAAGGCAAATTAAATTAAAAAACAATATATTTAAAGAAATTAAAAAATGGTCATGTCGCCTTAAAAAAAAAGTCACGTCTTTAACATTTTTTACTTTCGATTACATTTGGAAAAAAAGCAAGAATATGATTGCTTCTTTTAAAAATAACTCCTTTCTTGTGTTTCAATTATAACCTTTAGGGGGTAGGGAATATACCTCAGTGATAAGAGTGCTTGCCTAGTTTGTGCAAGGCTTGGGTTCAATCCCGAGTACCAGAAAACAAATAACCCTTTAGATTTTTTGGAGTTGGTGAACTAAAAAGTCACATAAGCATACGAGTAAAAGAAGCCTACAACTGTGACAGATATTAAAAAAAAAAAAAAAAGTAGCAGGAGTAATGTTTAAGTGCAATAATTAAGCTTATAATCCTTACCAAGTGATTTTTACAAAATGTTTATTCTTTTAATTCCAATGCACTCACAGGGGGTTAACACTTTGTTTCATTTCCACCAACTGCAGCATTATGTAAGTAAAGCAAAATAAGCACTTTTATCATAGATGTACGCCAATGATTAATAAAACTTTCTTTTTTTAAAGGACCTAAACTTCCCCCAAATTTCAGCGAATTTTATTGTATGTCTCTTTTAGAAGTTGATTTTAAAAATAGTGTGTAGAAAAGTTTCAAACTGTGTAAATATATTATACCATGTTATCAATCCACCAAATCAAAAGCAACTGCCAAGCTAAATAATAAATTACAAAGAAATAATAATTCTGGCTTGTACAGAAATGTGCAGTGTTTTCAAAGCTCTTAACAGTTATCCACTAATACAAATCTCCAAAGCTTAACTTAGAACTGAAAGCAGTTTCACAGTAACATTTTTAACCTCCATTTACATTCACTTTAATATATTAAAGATGTTTATTCTATGCCACAATGGTGCTTTCCAGTGTTCACAATTTACAGTTTCAATTTGTACATATGTAACTCATTAACATAAGGGAAAGTTCTTCCTGTTACAAACTATCCCTAAGAAGAAAAATAAAACCCCACCCTACATAGAACTCTGAACATGGTATGACTTAAAAACAGATTAATGCAACATGGTTTTTAATATTTTAGCCATTTTCTAAATACCAGCATGTAAACTTGCCTATTTAATATATGACAGCTACAATTTTATTCACTGAGAAATTCTGCATCAATTTTATTTAACCATCTTTATCACCTTATCATAAAAATCTCTTGACTTGCTGTTTCTGTTTCAGTGAATTCCAAACTGTATATATATATATATATAGGTTGGTTTTTTTTTTTTTAATTTTAAGACGAAGGAAGCAAGGTGATATACACTGCAAACAGAAAAAAGTCCCCCCCCCCAATTAAGCCTTTATAAAAATTTTCTCTTCTATACTATTTAACACTTTTAAAAAGTCAGTTAAATTGTTTCATCTTTAACAATAAACAAAATATTACTGGAGAGTCAGTCTGCCCCACCTTTCTGGGACCTAAAATTCTGAGTATGTGAACAGAATAAAATACTTCAGTGTTAAATCCCCAAATTTATAACTGTTATACGATTTGACTGGATTAATTAAAATATACAGAAACATACAATTCAAATTCAATAGGTGGTTGGTTATTTTACTTTTGGGGGTAGGTAGTCAAAAAACAAAGAGTAACAAATGAAATAGCAAAAAAGTTTTGTTTCCCATCTTAAAGGTGAAGGGAGGGGTGACAACAGATCACAGGGCAGTTTAAACCTTTAAAATCCACTGACCTATCATTTCAGGTCCAAGATGAATTTCTGAATTTTGTTGAATAGCCCCCCATTCTTTCCTTGAGTATCAAACTGATTGGTAGTCACATCTCCAAGTATAATTAGAGCTTAACAGTCTGTTGAATGAAATATTAATAAAGTTGAAAAGACAGACTAAATTCAAACTAGAATAAAAATCTACTCAAGTATTACATTCAGTTTTCAAATCATTTACTAATATGACAACAGATTTGGCTTAAATCACTCTTGCACACACTCACAACCACAGACACCCCAATTACTGATCTGCTCTGCAACACAAGGCCATATAATCAGAGATGACATTCTCCAAGCCAAACATTAAATAGATTAAAAAAAGTAATTTCTAATTTTTACAGAAATGCTTCTTCAAAAAAATATTTTCTTACTCCCTCATCTCCTATACTGAAGGATGTATACTGCTTTTTTTTGTTGTTGTTTTGTTTTAATTTCTCAAGCTAAATCTGAACACTCAAAATTGATTCCAGGCAGAAAATCTTTGTAAATTAAAATCAAAAACAAAAATAGAAAAATTATATTTTATATATGTGTATATATATATTTATATATATATATATATATGTATTTATACTGATTGGAAGCCTCCAGCATTTTAAAATCACTTTAGAGATGAATTTTGGGATTCTACTCCTCACAATTCCAAAATCCATAATGATTTAAGGATATATTTTGTTTCCTTCCTGGCTACCCATTCCCCTCCAAAACAGTTCAATATAGCCACGGCTCAAGTTTAATGGGAAGAGAGAAAGTTTTTGAATAGTTTTGTTTTTTTGATTTTACTTTGGTGATCTGGGTGGCACATATTGCTCTTTGCCATTACGTCGAGTCACTCCCTGAGGTATAGCCCTATGGCTAAACTGGCGTCTCTGTTCCCTGATTTTTCCAGATGCTCCCCTGGGAATGGTATTGCCTCGGAAGCCAGAATAATCCTTACTAGCCCTTGCTTCTGGCTTCTCATGTGATTTCTCAATGGACTTCTCAGGAGCTCCAGTCTCTTCATTTTTGGTGGGAGACACAACATTGGAGCGAAGTTCCCGTAGTGGCTGCACAAGAACTGGAACTGGCTCTTTAGGGGGCTTCTGGCACACTTCGGCATAACTTAACTTTCGAGGTTCCTTTTGAAGGGATAAGGGGAAAAAAAAAACTTACAATACACATTCTTTAATAAAGTACAAAAAAGGATATTTTAACCACAGAAAAACATAAGTTATTTTCTAGGTAAGGGCAACAGATATTCTTATATACACTAATGCTGTTAAAGTGATTAGTATAAACTTAAAAAAAAAAAGTGTTGAAAAAAAGAAGTCAGGGCTGGGGATATATCTCAGTTGGTAGAGTGCTTGCCTCACATGCACAAGGCCTTGGGTTCAATTCCCAGCACCACAAAAAGAAAAAAAAAAGAAGTCTTAGAAATTGATCCATGATATAATTATTTTACTTAAGAAATATATATGCAATGAAATAAAATGGATCCAACCCCTCCTCTTGGTATAAAGAACCCTGAGAAGGAACATTCAAGAATCTTGGCAGAAATCATACTTTTCTAACATTATTACTATCATCATCAAGATAATGTTCTAATCTATAAAATATAAAGAGCTGTGCTAAAATGCTACTAGTTGTATCAGTGAAAATATTACAGGTAAATTTTGTGTCCCCCACCCCATATTTTCCCAATCATAAAATTATGAAATTGAGGGGGCTTGGGCTGTGGCTCAGCAGTAGCCCATTTGCCTGGCATGTATGAGGCACTGGGTTCAATTCTCAGCACTGCATATAAATAAATAAAGATGTATCAACAACTGAAGAAATAATACAAAAAATTACGAAATTGATTCTGGTACTGAAATACAAGTAGGAATAGTCCCTAATGGCTTTCAAAGACTTATTAGTGCCACATAAACAACAAGATGAATTTTAACAGGGTCAAATCTCTTTATGATAGCCCCAAACTGGCAAATTCACCAAAACCTGGATGAGATGCTTTTCTGCTATGAGCAGAAGGAAAAGAACGAACAAACCCAAAGAAACTGAATAGTAAATTCTTCACTCTTCAACATGACTAAAACTTTCCATTTCTTCATAGTGACATTTAACTCCTTTAATTTCTTTCAGATGTAGCCAGTCTTACTTCGAGCTACTTCCAAATGACTCTTGCTCTAATAAAGTACCATGTGAAAAAAAGTTGTTTTTAAAATTATATAATCTATTAAATTTTTTTCTAACATAAACTAAACTCTTCCAAGTTACCTGTATGGTCACAGCTCCGGATGCATTTGTGTTACTATTACTTGGTGAAGCAGTATTTGCCTGTGGTGTCTTTGCAGTGCTTGGGGAAGAAACTGGTATAGTCATCTGATTGAGAACATCCTTCTGAACAGTGGATTCCTCTATTGGATCCTTTTCTTTCTGAGTTGTGCTAAGGAAAAAAGAGTTTGGATTTAGAGAACAAGAATTACTGAACTATCAATGAGAAGAAAAAGTCATGCTAAAGATTTTTTATACTAAAACTTGTACCTTAATGCAGGAAGCTCAGCTGTACATGGAGGATTTGTACTCATATTGAGTTGCAGGGCAGAAGTACAGTCTGTTTGCTCATCTTCTACAGGTACTGGGCAACTAACTCTCAAGTCTTCATTATCCTTAAATAAACAGATATTCAAAATTACATTTAGACATTTTTCTAAATAAGATGTACAAATGGCCAATAAGCACATGAAAAAGATGATCAACATCATTAGCAATTAGGGAAATGAAAATCAAAACCTGAGAAACCCCTATATACCTACTAGTATGGCTATAATAAAAAAGACAGAAATCAACAAATATTGGAGATGATTATGGAGGTACTGGATCTCTCATACATTGAAAGTAGCAATGTAAAAAAGATGAAGCAGCTTTAGAAACCAATGGCAATTCCTCAAAAAATTAAATAATTATATGACCCAGCAATTCCACTTCTATATACATACCTAAGAGAAATAAAATCAGGTCTTATCTCATATAGACAGGGGGAAAAAAAGGTCTACACAATTTTTTAAAATATATATATATATATTTTGGTTGTAGTTGGACACAATAACTTTATTTTACTTATTTTTATGTGGTGCTGAGGATAGAATCCAGTGCCTCACACATGCTAGGCAAGAGCTGTACCACTTAGCCACAACGCCAGCCAATACAAAAAATTTTATATTCACCATAGCATCATTTATAATAACCCCAAAGTGAAAATGAACCAAATGTCCATCAACTGATGAAGGGGGGGAAATGTGGTATATTAAAAAACAGAATATTGTTTGGCAATAATAAGAATGAAGTGCTTGACACGGAAGCTCATACCTTTCATCTCAAGACTCAGGAGGTTGAGTCAGGAGGATTTTAAGTTTGAGACCAGCTCAACTCTGAGACCCGGTCTCAAAATTAATAAAGGGCTAGTGATTTAGCAGAGTGAAAAGTCATCCCTAAGTTCAATCCCCATTACCAAACAAACAAAAACAAAAAGGAATGATGTACTTATATCGCTTCAAAGTGAAGATTTTCTGCTAAGTAAAATAAACCAGGTCACAAAAAGACAAATAATGTATGATTTCATTTATTTGAGGTACCTAGAGGAGTCAATAGAAACACAAAGTGGAAATATAGTTGCCAGGGGTTAAGGGTTGAAGGAAACAGGAAGAAGCTCAATGGATATACAGTTTTAGTTTTATTTGATGAATTCTACAGACTGGCAATGCAACAATGTGCATGTACTTAACCACTACATATACACTGGAAATGGGTAAGATAGTAATTTTATATTGCAGGTATTTTACCACAAAATAAATATGTGTGTGTATATTTTATATATATATCTCTCTGATAAATAATGGGGATGGAACCCAGAACACTTTACCACTGAACTATATCCCCAGATCTTTTAAACTGTATTTTGAGACAGGGTCTTGCTAAGTTGCTGAGATGGGCCTGGAAATTGCCATCCTCCTGCCTGCTTCCTGAATTATTGGCATTACAGGTGTGTAACACCATGCCTGACTACCAATTAAAACAAACAAACAAAAAACAAAACAAAACAAAAAAAACCCAACAGGAACAAAAACAAGGCCCGGAATTTAAAACTGATGAATGAAATAAAAGATATAATAGATTTAGAGGGGAATATTTGGGAACACTTTGTAGAAAACATAGTTGAGAACAAAAATAAAAATCATAATAACAACCAAAACAAGATACAAAGTTCAACCTATAAGATCTAATAACATATTAAGAGTTCAAAAAAGGACAAAGAATGATTTATGAAAGAAATAATTAAATGAATTCCCCAGCATGATATGACAAGAGTTTCCAGATAGATAGTCTACCAATGAATGAAAAAGAGCCATACACCAAAGACCCATTATCATGAAGTACCAGAGAAAAATAAAATACGCTCTAATTACCTTCAAAGAAAGATAAAATTTACAGAAATCAGAGCCCCTAGACTTAAATAAAGGCATTATGTCCATCTACAACTAAAAATGTTTAAAGAAAAAAAAAAAACCAAAGAAAGCTGGATGATTTTCTCAGCAAGATGATTATATCTGAATTTAAGAACCTGCTTTTACCTAGACACTGAAGAATAAAAAGAAATCATTAAAGTGAAAGAATTTACATGAATTTTTAAGACAAAACTCTGAGAATATGCCAAACACTTTTGATTCTCAACTTTAAAACAAAAACACACCCTAAGACCCAGCAACTTCATTTCTCTTTCTCTCTCTCTCTATATATATACATCCTAGACGTTCTTGTTCATATAAAGATTTGAATATTTTTAAGAGCATTATTTATATTGGCAAACAGAAAGCTACAATTTCCATCAACAGCAGAATGAAGACATAATTTCATTTAGATATTTACAAATGGGCACAATGCACATTATATTGTTTAGGGCAAACTAAGAGCTGGAACCTTTTGGTAGGCCCCTCTTTTAAGTTATAAAGGGCTGCAGAAATATATATACATACATACATACATAAAACCAAGAAGTAGTACACAAAGCCTAAAATATTTACAATTTACCCCTTTTCAGAAAAAGTTTGCCAATCCAGAATGGTAAACTAGAAAAGAAAATTATTATCACAAAGTTATATCTAAACAGAAGAGGGGGGAAGGAGAACCGCAAACAGGAAGAGGATACACATGTTGCTTCTAAGATACTGAGGGCATTTACCGTCCACAATTGTAGGTTGGGAGTACATGGGTAAGTACACTTCATTATTATTCTTTTAAAATGTATGTGTCTGTCTGTCTCACCAAATCTGAGAAGTTATCAGTTATAAAACAAATCATTATTTTATAAGGTGCCCAGAAAAACACTGCCACTTAAACCATGATACATTTTACATTTTAATTATTAGCCTGATTTATTTAATTACTTTTTTGGTAATAGGGATTGAACCCAGGGCACTTTACCACTGAGCCATATCTCCAGTCCTGTTTTACATTTTGTTTAGAGACAGGGTCTTGCTGAGATACCCCAGGCCTCTCTTAAGTTGCTGAGGCTGGCTTTCTTTGAACCTGCAATTCTCCTGCCTCAGCCTCCTGAGCTGCTGAGAAATGGGCATGTACCACCATGCCTGGCTGACAGTCTAATTTTTAAAGATGGTAAAACGTGAAAAAAATGTATATCTTAGAATTAATAAAATAACTACCATATTTCAAAATATTTTAAAATGAGGGCTGACAGTAGAAAAAGGAAAATATTTTTTTGGGGGGTGTGTGTGTGGGGAGTGGTACCATGGATTGAACGACTGAGCCACATCCTAACCTTTATTTTCTATTTTATTAGAGACAAGGTCTCACTGAGTTGTTTAGTGCCTCGCTAAATTGCTGAGGCTGGCTTTGAACTCTCTATCCTCCTGCCTTGGCCTCCCAAGCTGCTGGGATCACAGGTGTGCACCACCGTGCCCAGCTGGAAAACAATTTCTTACAGAGAACACTATCAAAAGATGAACTATAGACCAAGTATCAAAGCAGAAAAACATTTACAGAATCTAAGACTTAGAAATTTATACCTCATGACCACTTGTTCAGGAAGTTCTAGAAGATGTGACCAGTCATAATATAGGAAAATAAAAAGAGGAAGAAGGGGATCCAATAAAGGAGACTAAGGAAAATTTAACAAAATGGTGAAGGAATACAGAGATATGAAAAATTGTGTCCTATATGTGTAATAAGAATTGTAATGCTTTCCACTGCTGTCCTGTAGTTAAATAAAACAATTAAAAAAATAATAGTAAATAATGGTGAAGGAAGTCCAAGAAACAGTCATATAGCAGGCCACTGAGAATGTATAAGAAAAAGAAATAATTACAGTGTACTCTGTCATTTATGTTTTTTAAAAAAATATTTATTTGGGGTTGGGGCTGTGCAATTGTGCACTTGCCTGGGAAGTGTGAGGCACTGGTTTTGATTCTCAGCACTACATATAAATAAATAAAAATAAAGGTCTATCAACAACTAAAAAAAAAAAAATACTTAAAAAGAAATATTTATTATTTTTTACTGGTAGTTGGACACAATACCTATTTATTTACTTTTATGTGGTGCTGAAGATCAAACCCAGGGCCTTGCACGTGCTAGGTGAGTCTACCACTGAATTGCAACTCAAGCCCTAATCTATCATTTATTTAAAAAAAAAAAAAAGCGGGGCTGGGGTTGTGGCTCAAGTGGCAGAGCGCTCGCCTAGCAAGCATGAGGCACTGGGTTCAGTCCTCAGCACGACATAAAAAGAAAAGATATTGTGTCCACCTTAAAACAAAACCCTAAAATATATTTTTAAAAAATGTAATACTGAGACATGGCTTACAAATAACAGCATGTTTTAGTCTACTGGTGATGCTTTTTACTTAGAGATACTGAAATAATGGGCACCTTATAACTGATGATATCTCATAAATGATGAAGCCCAATATACTGGGAAGATGGGAAAAATTTTTATGTTTATTTAAGAGAGCTATATATATTTCCTTAGCTCTAGAATGTAAATCTAACAATGTCTAAAATCTTACTTTTTAAAGAAATATGAAGAGGTCTCTACACTCAAAAATATTGTAGGATGTAGTAGTATAACTTGCTGATATCTACTCTCCACTATTTCAAAGGCTAAGTTTATCAAGTTAATTATAGGGTAGTAAGTGGAAATACAGCTTTCGACTTATTAAGCTGATTGACTTTAAAGACATGTAAGAGTCAAAGAACATTTTATTGACCTTGTATAATACAACTTTATTATAAGTCCTTTAAAATAAGGTATGCTGAAAACTCCACAAGTTAAAACTATGATAGAAATACTAAGTATAAATAAAATTTAAAATAATAGCCCTGAAAACAATGCCCATAAACACAGTTCCAGAAAGTGAGAGAATCACACTGATTCTTCAGTGATTACCTTTTCTTTGTAGACACCTTTAACAACATCAGACATTCTATTCTCCAAAACAAGTTCACCTGGCATTCTTGATGAACTTCCAGGTAATGGAGGAAAATTTGAAGCTAGTAAGTCAAACTTTGGTGTAGGAGCCTTTGTTTCAGCTGTTGAAGGATGGGGTCTCTAAAAGACACAAATCATCAAACAGGTCATATGCCTATTGAATTCTCTAATACTTGTGCTGTACCACTGAGCCACAATCCCAGCCTGCCTATTTATCTTTAGATAGCTCTCTCTTCTGTTCCTTTTGCAAACTGCCACACTCCTTAAAATTCTGAACCAATATCTACTGTTCTTCAGTTTCTGTTTGCAATTCCCCATTCTATTAAATAAAAATAAAAACAAAAACCCTAATCCTACCATGCCATCAGTTTTACTCTATCCTAATGGAGAACAGCCAGGAACGATGGTGCATGCTGGTAATCCCAGAAACTTCTAAGGCTAAGACAGGAAGATAGCATAGACTCTTCCTCTTTCTATCTCATCCCCTCTTCCCTTGACCCTGAACTCAACATTCCACTAAAACTGCACAAGATGTCAATGCCTTTCACCACAAAAATCTGGAAGTCAGACTATTTTTACTGACTTCATTATATAGCATGTGGCATGATTGCCCTTCTTTCTTTTGGGAGTGTACTTTCTTCTTTTTTGCAATGCTGATGATCAAATGAAGGCCTTCAAACATGTTCAGCAAGTGTTCTACCACTGAGCTAAAACCCTCGCTCTGGGAGTTTGTTATTTTTATTTTATTTTATTTTATTTAGCTTTAGTGGTCTTCTCTTTGTTTCTTCTCAGATCTGAAAACCATGTGCGCTTTTCTCATTTCTGATTTGTTAAATTTTGGTTTCTATTCTTTTTACTTCCACATTTTCCATGGGTTATCCATCATTCATGGGTTCAGATACACCGATATGTGAACAGCTATATCTCTCCTTTTTTTCTTTGACTTAGGATTGGCACTTAACCACTTAGCCATACCCACAGCCCTTTTGGAGACAGCCTAGCGATAAGTTGTTTATGGGCTCGCTAAGTTGGTGAGGCTGGCTCTGGCAGCCTGGCAAGCAGAAAAGACTTAAAACAATCTTTTTCCCTTTTGGTGGCCATGGCAGCACAACTGAATTGTACATTTTAAATAGTTTCAGCCCAAGCTCTTTTTACATTCAGATTTCACTTGGGATAATTCAAACAACATACTAAAAACTCTTGCTTTTAGTCCAAAAGTCACTACCACATTCCCCAAAGTTTCATATTTGGACTTTTTTATTACTGTTCACAGGGTAACTTGTGAGAATTTTATCTCTTATTATTTCAATTACTATGTGAAAGTTTACAAATATTAAAATTTTAGGACCTCTAGCTAAGACCTCCCCTCTTATACTACAAGGTGTGTTTATCATCTTTTCCTTCACCCCAACAATTAGTCCTTAATCCAGACATTTTCAACATGTTAAAGAGATCTAATCTCTCTCTTCCTCAAATGTTGAAGGCCACTTAAAAGACTATTCTTGGTGTTTTAATGCAATAATTTTCTTCTTTGAATATTATTCCTTTTCACTGTAAAACATACATGTAAAATAAGCATTGTATTACACATTTATGATACACCTATAAATCTGGGGTGGGGGATCCTTGAGGCCTCCATGCTTTTTTTAATTCTTATTTTTGGCAGTGTTGGCATGCCAAAAAGACACTACCACTGAGCCACATCCCCAACCCAATCTCCATGCACCGTTATTCCTCAACTCTTTTTGCCTCTAGATTAGAGACAATGCAAAATTCACTAAGAACAAATAATGGAAATAAAAATAAGTAATTGAAACTGGACAAAATTCAAACATGATATATAAAAGAATCAGCAATAGACAGATAATTACCCAATTAAAAAATTAAATAAAATAAAGGCATTGTATCTAACTACAACTAAAAAATAAATATAAAAAAAAAAAAAATGAAGGAGGGCTAGGGATGTGGCTCAGTGGATGTGTCTTCAGTGGTAGCTCAGTTGATATAGTGTTGCCTAGCATTCACAAAGGCCTGGGGCATTAAAAAAAAAAAAATACTATCCCCTCTCTGATAAAAAACAATTAATCAAACATATACTGCATTAGGCTATAGATAAAAGAAACTTTGTTGTTCATGGAAGCAAAAAAAAAAAAAAGACAGCTCCTACAGAAGGTTATCTGGCAGCAATTATTGAATTGTGATCCAGAAAAGCCACTCCAAGGGATTCTCCTTCAGATATAATCATACCTATGAGAAATGATGATATTATAAATAATGCAATGATAATTCCATATTATCAAAAGACTGGAGCTACTTAAATATCCATAAATAATGCAATAAATCTTTCATATTTTTTAAAAATATATTAGGTATTCAAATAATTTTTTTGAAAAGAGAATATCAAAAAATTGTAACCGGGCTGGGGATGTGGCTCAAGTGGTAGCGCATTCGCCTGGCATGCACAGGGCGCTGGGTTCCATCCTCAGCACCACATAAAAATAAAGATGTTGTGTCCACTGAAAACTGAAAAATAAATACTTAATATAAAAAGGGCAGGGGATATGGTTCAGTGGTTAAGTGCCCCTGGTTCCATTCCCAATACCCACCCCCGGCCTCGCCCCGCCAAACCAAAACCCAAAAACAGGCCTGGGGTTGTGGTTCAGGGTAGAGTGCTTGTCTCGAATACATGAGGCACTGGGTTTGATCCCCAGCATCACATTAAAAAAAAAAAAAAAAACTAAATAAACAAAATAAAGGTATCGTGTCCATCTACAACTAAAAAATATTTAAAACAAAAGCCAACAGAAAAAACCCAAACACCTCCCCAAATTTGCAACCCTGTCTTAGCCTCTCATGGGGTTGGTTCACCCAGCTTCTATTTTCCTTTACTAAATACTAAAACCAATGAAAAGGCAGACCACAAGTCAATGCCATAGTAAATCACAATAGAGAAAACAAAACAAACAAACAAAAAGAAAGATGTAATTAAAGGTTAAAAACACTCACTGGGATTCTGTCATCTTCTCGTCGTCTTCGACCTCTGAAAATAGTTCTCCTTTTAAAAACAAAAGAAGGTGTTGGGGGACAACTTGTAAGATTCTTCAAATATACACAATCTAACAAAAATGGAGAGATTTCTAGTTTAACTTATATTCTAAATCTAAATCCACCAAAATTAAAAGATAGTCTTCTGAAAGCAATCTGAGCTTATATAACCAAAAGCTCCACCACCAGTTAGCTGGTTCATTTTTACTATTTTTTTTTGCTCTCTCCATACCAGAAGCGTATCAGAGTTTAATTTAGGCAAGGTAGGCACTATAAAACCCATTCCTACAGGTTATACTTAGAATAACTAAAACCCTAAGGCACAAAGATGGATAGCCTATTTTTCTAAGCTGCCTTCTCCTTGGCCAACTATAAAGAACTTCAAAATATAAATTTCTGATCATAGTGGCTGGGCATGGTGGCATACGCCTGTAATACCAGTGGCTTAGGAGGCTGAGTCAGGAAAATTTCAAGTTCAAAGCCAGCCTGAGCAATGGTGAAGAGCCAAGCAACTCAGTGAGATCCTGTCTCTAAATAAAATACAAAATAGGACTGGGGATGTGGTTCAGTGGTTGAGTGCCCCCCACCCCCAGTTCAATTCCCAGTACCCCACCCCCAAATTCTGATCATAGCTATTCTATATGGATACTCTATATTTCTTAATTATTTTAAAAAAACTACTGGGAGGTTGAGGTTGTGGCTCAGTGGTAGAGTGCATCTGAGCACATGTGAGGCACTAGGCTTGATCTTCAGCACCACATAAAAAATAAGCAAATCAAGGTATCATGTCCACCTACATCTAAATACATTAACAACAAAAACAAAACCAGTAAACACCCACTGAGGTTAGCCATTACAGTGGCTGATGCTTGCCAAGCATGAAGCCCTGTGTTAGATTCCCAGTACTATAACAACAGAAACAACAACAAAAATCTAAAAAATTATTAACCGATGATAAACTGTTTATTTCCATAACCACATGCAAATAATTGTTAAACCAACAACATCAATCGTTAGTCATGGTCTTTGAATACACAGAATGAGTGTATTGTGATCAAAGAATTTTCATACACCCATATTTTCTTACCTGCCCCTACCATAGTCCCCATTCTGTTCCATCTGTAAAACAGGAGTCTCCTTGGGAAGGTGAGTTTGCTCCTGATGCCCTATTACTGTAGGGTTATGCCGTTCGGGTGGAAAGTTCCTTGAACTAGATCTGTTCAATGGTCCATCCCCCAATGACACAGAGCCCTCTGTTGAATGTTCTGAACCACTGGATGACCTAAAATGAGGCTTCACACTATAAGAAATAAGATCATATACATCAAAAGATGTATCAAGACAGAAAAAACCTTTCTTTGTACTCTGGTTGTCATATAGTGAAAATGTTACCTGTTTTATTTCTTACATATAATATTTTCAAAAGGCAAAAGGATTTCTGTTGAAGAAATTTGTTCAAGGAGAGATTTGGGAGAAAATCCAAAGTTCTTTGGAAAAAAGAAGAAGAAAAAAAAACTATTGTCTTGATATACCTATATCAGCCAGGTTAAAAATTTAACATCTGTGCCATGAACTCTCAATAAGGGGAAAACCACCAATGAAAGTAAAAATTGGTGGTGGTTGTGGTGGGGGAACAAAAAAATTCGCACTCATTTTATGTGTAAGGCATAGACATACATTGCACAGATATACTATAATCTGTAATATTAAATTTTCATAGGAGAAAATTAGTAAAGAAGCTTGAAAAGTCTCTTTATGGGAATGACAATGAATAGGATGAGAAACAGTAGACATACTAAAATCTCAGCCTTCACCAAATGCAATCAGTTGCTCAAAGATCCAAATGTGGAACAGAAAACTACAGAGAAATAAAGCCAGCAGTCTGGCATGTGTCATGAATTAAGGTATACAATATGTTAAAAAGCACTGCCTCCCCCAACCCTGCTTCTGCAAAAATAGCTTTTATCTTGGATGAAAACTAGGAGCATCCAACTTCCTAAAAAATCTGTAAATAGATTAAGCTAAGGTAGCATAACAGAGAAAAGATGCAGTTTAATCAACAAGGCAAACACCTAAAGTACGCCTAAGCAACTGAGGATCTTGGCTCTACAACAGAATAACAAGGAAGCGTGAGATTTGTATTAGCCCATGACTTACAATCTTTTATAATGTTTTCATAAATACAAACTGATAATATTAATAACATTTTGCCAATTTCCTAAGCTCTTAGAACAGGGACTGAAAATCATTTATAAGCCCCAAAATTAAACATTAATTTAAATGGCACATAGAGCTATTTTATTCTCCAGAGACCATGACAAATTAGGCTATTACTATTAAACTTTAAGATAAAAATCAAGCTACAATGACACTTCAGAGAATTTATTTTGATGAGCATCTTGCTAAGTTGTAGAGCTTAACCTTGAACTTGAAATAAAACCAACAGTCTGGCATGTGTCATGACAACCTCCTGAAGTTGCTAGGATTATAGTTGTGCTTCAACATATCCAGTGAAAATAGACTGGGTAGGGAGGTAGGGGTGTAATTGGGGCTTAAACCTGGGTATTTAACCACGGAGCCAGACCCTTAGCCCTTTTAATTTTTTTATTTTGAGACAAGGTCTTGCTAAGTTGTTGAGGCTGGCCTTCAACTTGTGATCCTCCTGCCTCAGGTTCCTGAGCTGCTGGAATGACAGGTGTGCGCCATTGCACCTGGCAAAAATAGGTTCTTCAATAGCAATAAAAATTACAGTATGTCACCTATCAGTTTTTTCCAAAATATTTATTATCTAGCATATCTGAAAATGACCTCAAGAGTTTGATAGATTATTTACATATCTGTTCAGAAACTATCATTCACCAATTTTCACCTTGTACACCAATAAGCCTAATGGACAAATTATTTTATTATTATAGTTTAAACAGCCCTCAGATCTCATAATCTTACCCTTCATTGAGAGGGACTTACGATCTCAATCCAGGCAACAGAAAAGAGAATGAAGAAAGAAGTGATAAAGCCAGAAGAAAAGGGGAAGTGACAGAAAGACAGAAAAATGCCTGGATTTTTGAAAGTTAGTCCTATTCTCTCTAAGTAGGACTAGTGATCATCATTGGGCTATTCTCAAAGTTATATCCAAAATTGTAAAATGGCTCTAATAGTTACTTCCTCTTTGATTGCTAACATTAATTTAAAGGAAAATGGTATAAAAGCCTGACAGCTGTCACGTCATATAATAAACAAAAGAAGTATTATACTGTTGGTCAAAAAGTTAGTTTCATTTGTAATGTTTGCAGAAATATGGAAAAAAGTACTCACGTATTATTTTTATAATTAAAAACAAACCAAAACCACTGTTGCTCAAATACATGGAAAAAAACTATACTGTGGTTTTGAAAAACCATGCAAAATAATAATAAACTTGCCTATATGCTCAAAACCATAGGTGAATCTCTTTTTTTTAATAAAGGTGACTACCTTTCCTGGCTTTCTTATTGTAAATGTCATCCCTTTCACCAACAAGGCACAGTAGACAAAATGGGGACAATAAAGGAAGAACAATGAACCCACCACATTTTTAAAAAAATTAACAAAGGACCTAAAAACAGCATATTACAGGGACACAGCCACATCAATGGTTACAGCAGCACAATTCACAATTCACATCTAGGTTGGCAGAGCCAACCTAGATGTCCCTCAGTGGATGAATAGATTAAAAAAAAAAAGTGGCATTTATACACAATGGAATATTACTCAGCAATAAAAAAGAATAAGATCATGGCATTTGCAGGGAAATGGATGGCATTAGAGAAGATTATGCTGAAGTGAAGTTAGCCAATCCCCCGAAAAACAAATGCCAAATGTCTTCTCTGATTTAAGGGAGGTGACTCAAAATGGGGTTGGGAGGGACAGCAAGGGAGGAAGATTACCTGTAGATAGGAAATAGGGGTGGGAGGGAAAGGGAGGGAGAAGGGGAATAGCATGGATGGTGAAAGGAGACCCTCATCATTATACAAAATACATGTATGAAGATGTGAATTTGGTATCAACATACCTTATATACAGATATGATAAATTGTAGTATAAAGGTGTATTAAGAATTGTAATGCATAAATAAATAAATAAATAAATATTAAAATAATTAACTAACTACATTGGCAGTGCCAGAGATCAAATCCAGGGCCTCACACATGCCAGGCCAAGTTTCTTTTTTTTTTTTTTTTTGAGAGAGAGAGAGAGAGAGAGAATTTAGTTTTCGGCGGACACAACATCTTTATTTGTATGTGGTGCCGAGGATCGAACCCAGGCCGCATGCATGCCAGGCAAGAACGCTATTGCTTGAGCCACATCCCTAGCCCTGGGGCTAAGTTCTTTATCACCAACCTCAATACCCAGTCCCGTATTGTATTTATTTTTAAGGAACCAGGGATTGAATGCCCAAGACGCTTCAACACTGAGCCACATCCCTAAACTTTTTAATTCTTTATTTTGAGACAAGGTTGCTTAGGGCATCACCGAGGCTGGCCTTGAATGTACAATCCTCCTTTTGCAACCTCCTGAGCTGTTGGGATTACAGGTGTAAGACAGGACACCCACCTTTATTTATTTGTAACATGAGCATCTGAAAAGATCAGCACCAGCCCGATCAGTTAAAAATAGCTTTTAGTCTACCTAATAACAAATATCTGTTCTACTTAAAGTGTTTAAAGCAGAAATGACACCTTCAAAGAACTATATGGGGAAATCAACACATACTTTTTTTTTTTTTTAAAAAAACAGGTCTACTACCTCTAATCATGACCAATTTGTTATCTTCTCAAGAGAGAATTTAGAAATTGTATTGATTTCTTTTTCTTCTTTTTGCAGTACTAAGGATGGAACCCAGGGGCACTCTATCAATGAGCCACATCCCCTGCCCTTTTTGTTTATTTTGAGACCGGATCTTGCTTAGTTGTTTACGACCTCACTAAGAGGCTAAGGCTTGCCCTTGAACTTGTGATCCTTCTGCCTCAGCTTCAGGAGTATTAGGATTACAGGTGTGTGTGCTACCACACCCAGCAATTGTGATTTATTCTATTGGAAATATTTTTCAAAAAATAGTTTTAGTTGTAGATGGACACAATACCTTTATTTATTTGTATGTGGTACTAAGAATCAAACCCTGTGCCCTCAAACATGATAGGCAAGTGCTCCACCACTTAGTCTCAACACCAGCCTCCAATGGAAATATTATTTTTTGGTACCAGGAATTGAACCTAGGGGCGCTTAACCACTGGACCACATGCCCAGCTATTTTTAATATTTTATTTAGAAACAGGGTATCACTGAGTTGCTTAGGGCCTCACTAAGTTGCTGAGGCTGACTTTGAACACACAATCCTCCTGCCTCAGAACTATATGGGGAATCAACACGTACTTCTTCTTTTTTAAACAGATCTACTACCTCTAATCATGACCAATTTGTTATCTCCTGAGCTGCTGTGATTACAGGCGTGCCCCATGGCGCCTGGCTTGAAACTTTTAAGAAAAAACTTTTTGTCAGTTTATGGCAGAGGAGAAAGATGTTTGGAAAGTCTTAGTCCTGGTGGTAAGAGCCACATAAGACTGGCAAGATATTTATCTTCTTCAGCCTTATTTTCTTCATCTATAAGTGAGTTAAAATTACATAACAAAGATCTGTGTGTTCTTGGAAATCAATCTTTTCCAAACAACAGGATGGTGACTACAGGGCAGTATGTATACTTCTATTCCTATATCATAACAACACTGAATTTTGTAGGTAATTGCTATAATTACTAAACAAAGTGTGATCTACAAACAATGTACTGCTTGTAAATTACCCTACATTATTCTTTTTCCTGAGCTAGAATCTTGCTATGTTGTCTATGCTGGCCTTGAACTCCTGGGGTCAAGTGATACTCCTGCCTCAGCCTCTCGGGTAGTTGGGACCATAGTTGTGCATGACTCTACCTGGAAGTATCCTTCATTATTAATATACAAAAAGATGCCATTTGAAACTTGAATAAAAATGTGTTTATGTAATACACATTTTCTAGCATTTAAAAATTACCTTTAGGACTGGGATGTAGCTTAGTGGGAGACCATTTGCCTAGCATATACAAGGCCATGGATAGAATGGTGGTCCCCATCTGTAATCCCAGTGGCTCAGCATTGGTCTGCCTCAATAACTTAGTGAGACACTCTTTTAAAATAAAAATTTAAAGGGCTGGGGATATTGCTCAGTGGTAGGAGTCCTCTGGGTTTAAACCCTGGTACCAAAATCCTCATAATCATCATCAAAAACACTGAATGCAGAAACAAAATAATACACCACTTTCATATCACCAAAAAAGCTTTCACAGAATATTTTTTTAAAAAAATTATGTTACTTTAAAGCAGCACGAAAACTGTCATTTCTATTTTGTGTTAAGCAGGAAACCCATTCAAATGCTTTAACAGCATCAAAGGGCATCCAAAAATTGTGACCATTAAAGGGGAGCCAGAATGAATGCTTCCAGAATGCACTGAGACAGACATATTTTATACTATAACACTACTTTCTCTAATAAAACACACTTCAGAAAAATCACACAAAAAAGGACTGAATTATTAGACGACATTTTGGAAATATACTATGTGGTCACCTTGCCAAAGAAGAATCAAGTGGGGGAATCGGATCCGGCAAGAGACTGAAAAATCAATGAAAAGAAATCATTAGTGGGCTGGGGTTGTGGCTCAGTGGTTAAGTACTACTGAGTTCAATCCCCAGTAGCCCCCACTACAAACACACACCAAAAGGGCAAAACTAGTAATTAATTCTAAACCATCTTTTATTCTCTGCTCATTATTCACTATCAAAAGCCATAGTAACATACAAAATATTATCACTTGACATCTATATAAAGAAAAATACTTAATATACTTACCAATCTTCTGTAAAATAGTAAACAGGAGCCCTAATAATTTATTATCTACAAAACAGCTGTACCTATTGTCAGTGCTATAAAAATTAAGATAAAAATGTAAGGCTTGCTGGGTGTGGAGGCACATGCCTATAATCCCAGTGATTTAGGAGGCTGAGGTAGGAGTTTCACAAATTCAAAGGCAGCCTCAGCAACAACAAGGCACTAAGCAATTTAGTGAGAACCCACCTCTAAATAAAATACAAAATAGGATTGTGGTGCTGGGCCTGTAGCTCAGTAGCAGAGCACTTGCCTAGCATGTGTGAGGCCCTGGGTTCAATGCTTAGCACTGCATATAAACAAATGAATAAAATAAAGGTCTGTTAATATCTTAAGGAAAAGAGAAAAATAAAGGCATGCTGTCCATCTACAACAACAAAAATATAGGGCTGTGGCTCAGTGGTTGAGTGTCCCTGAGTTCAATCCCCAGTATACTTTGCACCCTCTCCTCACCAAAAAAAAAAAGTGAGGCTTTAGGAACATAGTCTGAGATTTAAAAGCTATTTGTGTGTGTGTGTGTGTGTGTGTGTGTGTTTGGGGGATACTGAACCCAGGGGTGCTCTACCCCTGAGACCTACGTCCCCAGTCCTTTTTATTTTTGAGATAGGGTCTCCTAGGTGGCTGAGGCTGGCGTCCAACTCGAGATCCCCTACCCGCATCTCTAATCTCCAGTCTCTCAAGTAGCTGGGATTACAAATATGTGCCACAAGTCCTAGTGCAAAGTTAATTCTTCAGAATCTGAAATAATACGTATCACAACATTCCACATTTCTAACCCCAAAGATTTTCCAAAATGTTACCCATTTATTATACTGAGTGGCATTTAGGCACAATTCTAGATTGAATCATTCATATGTATTAATAAATATACAAACATTTTTATTGTGTCTGCCAATGAGTATTGCTATTAACAGCAGTAATTTATTAAGAACAATTAGGAATTGTTTAAAATAAATTTCAGCTATGATTGTTATCTTACCGATTTTTTTGGAATGGTCGACCAACATTCATAGCAGCAGCATTTGTTTTATAAGATCCTGGTGAATTAAAGCCATTCACAAAACTACCATTGGGAAAGGGAGCCTAGAAGAAAATTTTAATGTTTAAACAATATCAATGGTAAAGACAAGAAATGGGATTAGGGTCACAGAAATCTATTGAGCTTAGCCTCCTTTTAAGCCAAATATTTTATTTATTTACTTTTGCAATATTCACATCATATACCACTTGACTTATGAATAATTGTTAGTTCATTACTTAATAAGGAATATTATTCTCTGACAAAGTTTCATAACACTAAAACTATTTAAAACCCTGTAAGGACTTATAAGCTACAAAGTAATAAATAGCAACACAAATGAACTACTCCAGCCTATTTCTTCAATTTTCAGGATGGATTAAAAATCCTGTAATTTTTGTTTTATTATCCTATAAGTATCTCACTTACCAGTGGCGTTTCAAAGTAAGGTGCAGGACTTGGAGACCAAGACTGAGGCACAATACTATAGACTGAGTATTGTTGATGAGGATTATATACAGGCTGCATAAAGACTGGTGAGGCATACTGTGCTTGAGTTTGAATTGGCTGACTATACATACTAGAATCCATTAATCGATAACCATTCTTAGCAAAAAAAGTATTGATGGCTTTTATCCTTGCCTAGAAGCAAAAGGAGCACATTATAATAAAACTCAAGTGTATATTTTAACAAATATATTAAATTTACATTTAACACATATTATTTGACTACACTATTTCTGTTTACTGTAGAGTCAGTAGAACAAAAGAAAACTGACAGCTTTATTAACAAGAAATCTGTACACAGGAAAAAAATAGAATAAACAAGGTTAAATAGAAAAGTCTGAATGGTGAAACTAATTACAACACAAAGAGTGCTAATATCTCTAATAATACATAAATTGTAAAAATAGGCATGAAAAAGCTCAAAAACTCTACTAGGGTTAGAAATGAGCAGAATTAACAAAAATGAAAGGCAAACATATGAAACAGATGCTAAACCTAGCTCATAAGATGAAATTAAATAACACATATGGCTAGGTACAGTGGTGTACACCTGTAATCCGAGCAACTACAGAGGTTAACGCAGGAAGATTCCAAGTTTAAGGTCAGTCTAGTCAACTGTCTAGAACATTTCAAGACTTTATAAAGGCTGAGGATATATCTCAGTGGTGGAGCACTTGACTATCATGCTAGAGAAACCATGTTCAATCCTACCATGACAATATACAAATAATTAACATCTAGGGAAAAAATGCTCAAAATCATTAATGATCAGAGAAATGAAAATTAAAATCACAATATAACCCCATATACCTGTTAAAATGGCTGTTCTCAATAAGACCAGTATTGAAGTGGATGTAGAGAAAGAACTCTTGAACACTATTGGTGGAAACCTAAATTAGTAGAGCCATTATGGAAAACAGTTTGAAAAAGGCCCTTACAAGTTAAAAATAAGCCTGGGGGTGTAGCTTTGTGATAAAGAACTTGCCTAGCATGTGTGAGACCCTGGGTTTGATCCCCAGCATAAAAACCAAACAAAAACTCAAAATAAAAACAACAAAGGAAACCCCCATACATTAAAAAAAAAATAAAATTATTTTTATAAAATCATAAATTAAATTTAATGGTCTCACCACAAAAAATAAGTACACAAGGCAGATGTTATTAGACTGATTTATTCATTTCATAATGCATATGCTTATTATGATATAAAATTGTACCTGAAAAATGGATACAATGTCAATTATACCTTTAAAAAACTGGAAGAAAAAATGCACATAGCTATTTAAGAACAGTAATCATAAACAGAATGGGAAATGAAGATAAATTCTCCTTGGGCTAGGGCTCAGTGGTAGAGTACTCGCCTAGCATGTGCAAGGCACTGGGTTCAATCCTCAGCAAATTACTTATAAAAATAAATAAATAAAATAAAGGTATCATGTCCAACTACAACTAAAAAAAAAAAAATCAAATAAATAAGTCAATAAAAATAAAGGCATTGTGCCCATCTATAACCAAAAAACTTTAAATATTAAAAAAAAGAAGAAAAGAAAAAAAAAGAGAAAATAATCCTCCTCTAAAACACAACACAAATACAGGAACAATTCAACAGTCCATCAATCATGGTGTATGCACATGATATTCATCAACTATGAAACTTAGGTACTTCTCTAAATACTATTTTGGAGTGATTTCCAAAAATATACTATTAAGGGAGAAAAAGAAAAGGTAAGGAGGAGAAAAGTTTATGTAGTAAGGCTATTGTAAGATGGGCATATGACACTTGGATATACAAATATTAGTATTTAACATACTGTGTTTATGTGCTCAGATTTTTTTTAAATAAAATCTATTTTTTTTTAAAGAGAGAGAGAGAGAGGGAGGGAGGGAGAGAGAGAGAGGGAGGGAGAGAAAGAGTTTTTTAATATTTATTTTTTAGATTTCGGCGGACACAACATCTGTTTGTATGTGGAGCTGAGGATCGAACCCGAGACGCACGCATGCCAGGCGAGCGCGCTACCGCTTGAGCCACATCCCCAGCCCCTGTGCTCAGATTTTTAAAAAATATTTATTTATGTGTTTTTTTAGTTTTACGTAGACACATTATTTTGTTTTTATGTGGTGCTGAGGATCGAACCCAGGGTCTCATGGCATGCTAGGTGAGCGCTCTACCACTGAGCCACAACCTCAGCCAGCCCACATGTGCTTAGATTTAAAACAAAAATTAATCTGTATAAGTTACAAGAAAAAGGAAACTAAAGGTATATCTAATTTGTTATGTAACAAAGAATTCCTAAGTGAATTTAGCCCATAATAAAATAAACAGCTGATTGTATGTATGTTCCTTAGAAATCATAGGCACAAAATATGGCAAGATAATTAACACTCTTCAATTGTTTTCAGCATTATATTGCTATTGATACTGTTATTCTGATGTTTTTGTGTGCAATTATGGAATAGATTTAATCAGTGATTATATTAGTGTCACAGACATCCAAGATTTCACACTAAAGAAATGAGACACTGATGAGACTGAAGAAATATAAACTACATTGCCTGAAATTAAATGGAAAGCTTCAGCACAAACTCAATGTACTTTTTCTCAAAAAGGGCTAGAGAGCACATGAACCTTAGATTTACCCAATACAAAAGTTGAAACCAGCAAGCCACTAAGCTTCTTGTGCCTAGCCAGTGGTACACAAAATATCATTTCCTCATAAAGGAATCCAGGGAACTGGAAAACATGCTGATTCCAGGTCTTTGCAGTGGTATTACAGAAAAGCCTGGAACACCTTGTCATATTACTAAGCAGGGACACTACTGAAAAGTACCAGAGCTGAAACAAAAGAACTTGGGAGATAACTCAGAGAGGCCAAACTCAATGTGAAAAATAATTACACATTTTTAAATACCCAGAATAAAAAAAAGAAAGGTCACTTTTTTTCCTTTCTTTTGGAGTACAGGATATAGAACCCAGGTCCTTTGTGTATGCTAGGCAAGTGTTCTACCACTGAACTACATTTCCATCCCCAACATATCATTAAAAACAAAAACTGGTAATAAAGGCTAGCAACAACCATTTAGCATGCATTTCACACATGAGCCGTACCTCAGGACAATGGAGATGAGGGTAAGCCTCTAATAAACAGAAAAGAAGGCAATACGAAAAGGCACAATCTAAGTCAATGACACCAGCAGCTAGTCTTAGTTCCCTCTCTTGTGATATTCTGATAGCAAACTCAAATCTGATCAAGATTCCTGATCAAGGTACCAATTTGCATGAAATACAGGAGGATAACAATCACATTAAACTACACTCAAGAAATCATTTAGCAAGGCATTCAAAATGGGTGGAGAATGTCCGATGAAGGGGTTGCTGAGGAAGAGGAATGTTCCAGCAGTCTATTAAAATTTATAAATGCAGATTATAAATAGAAAGAGGGCTGGGGATATAGTTCAGGTAGAGTGTTTGCCTCATGCACAAGGCCCTGGGTTCAATCCTCAGCATGGGGAGGCCAGGGGAGGGGGAGGGGGAGAGAGGGAGAAGAAGAAAGAGGGGGTAAGGGAGGGAGAAGGGGAGAGGAAGAGAAGGGGGGAGAGGGGTAGAGAGATGGGGTAGGAGAGGGAGTGTAACTAGCAAAATATAAGGATATGAACATATACCAGCAGAGCATTTGCCTGGCATGCATGAAGCCCCGGGTTCAGTCCCTACTGCTAGAAAATAAAGGGAAAAAAGTATACCCTAGAGAAATTCTATAAGACATTCTTTATTTTTAAAGAATAGTTTTAAAAAACTTTTTTGTTTTATTTTTATGTGTGTTGAGGGTCAAACCCAATGCCTCACCCGTACTAGGCAAGTGCTCTCCCACTGAGCTACAAGCCCAGCCTCCAACATTCTTATAAAAGAAAAAGGGGGGAAAAAAAGAAAAGAAAAAAGGATGGTAGAGCATTTGCTTACATGTACAAGGTTCTGGGTTCAATCCCCAGTATGTGAAAAAGACAAGGGAAATCAAGAAAATACAAACACTGAGGATTACCTGATAATAGTAAAAAAATCAGTGATGATGATACTGTGGCTATTTTGGGGGTTATATTTTATTGTTTTATTGATATAGCCTAAGCATCTAAAATATGGCTGTTTAAAAAAAAAAAAAAAAAAAAGAATCCCTATCCTTTAGAACTACTAACGTTAAATTTTTTTTAAGGTTCTAATTTGAGCCATTTTATTAGCATACAAGAAGGTGTATTATTCACATTTAAGCTTCAGTTCTGAAGAACTGAAGCATTGGTAGCATTGTGCATGAAGCACTTTGAGATCTCAGAGTAGGAAATTAAGTACAGAGTGGAGGTCTTTTTTCTTTAGTTTTAGGTGGGCACAGTATCTTTATTTTATTTTTATGTGGTGCTGAGGATCGAACCCAGGGCCTCACGCATGCCAGATGAGTGCGCTACCACCTGAGCCACATCCCCAGCCCATTAATTTCTTTATAGATGAAATTAAGTGTGGAATTTATTTCCAAATAATTTTGTTATGTGCACTTTACCACAACAGAAAAAAAAAATGGGTCATAGGTACATAGTGGTTTATTGTACTATGTTGTCCACATTTATGTTTGAAATTCCTGCATTAAGTTTACTTAAAAAGCCAAGCATGATGATGCATGTGTGTACAGCTACTTGGAAGGCTAAAGCAGAAGGATCACAAATTTGAGCCTAGCCGTAGCAACTTAGTGAGACCCTATCTCAAACATTTTTTAAACAAGGAGGCAGGACTTGGGATTTAGTTTAGTGTTCCTAGGTTCAATCTCCAGTACCTAAATAATTAGGTAAACCAACAAAAATTGCTCTAACACATGGCAAATTTTTAATTCAGACTATGTAGTGATAAACTGCTTTTGGGCGCTCTTAATAAAAAAAGTATATGGCTAACAAAACCTGTGATATTCACTATTGGGCTGCTGAAATAAAGTTTGGCAATTTCTGCAACAGAATTAATAGATGTTAGAGGGTGGACTGGGGTTGTAGCTCAGTGATAATGTGCTTGCCTCTCATGTGGAAGACATTGGGTTCGATTCTCAGCACCACATAAAAATAAGATATTGTGTCCATCTACAACTTAAAAAATATATATATATTAAATATATATTATATATTAATTTAATAAAATTTAATTTTAATAAATTAAATTAAAAATATATATACCCCCAATATATATATAAAAAATAAAAAGATGTGAGAGGGTTAGATTAGGAACAAAAAGCCACACCAAGGTGTTGGAACTTGCCAAAAGAAATGAGAATATCATTAATTTACTGGTTAAGTTGAGGACAGTTGGCAGTTTCACCTTATATTTATTCATTATTGTGAATAGTAGTACAGTATTCATTCTGGTCTGTTGTGTGTGTGTGTGTGTGTGTGTGTTTAGGGTGTTTTTTTTGGCGTGTGTGTGTTGCTAGGGATTGAACCAAGGGCATCATTGAAAACAGCAAAGATTTTAATCCAGCTATTATAAATGTATTTATAAATAACATACAAATTGGAGGCTGGGGATATAGCACAGTTGGTAGAGTGCCAAGGCCCTGGATTCAATCCCCAGCAGTGGGGTGAGGTGGGGGGAACCATAAAAAAATTATGTTAATTGGCTGAAGTTAGAATGCAATCTAAACACATGAAAATTTTTTAAAATAGAAATTCTAGAATATAGCCTCTACATGTTCAGACTGAGGGTCTAGCTCAGTTGTAGAGAACAAGCGTAGCATGTACCAAGGCCTTATGATTCAATTTCTAGTAACACAAATGGTTTGACTTATTTAAGCTGAGAGCACCATATAGGATTTCTGGCTCTGGCATTTTTCTTTCCAGGTATTAGGCCATTTGGTTTGGATGGATGGCATAAATGTTAATGTGCAGGCAGGGGATGTGGCTCAGTGGTACAGCGCTTGCTTCATGTTCAAGGATTTGGCCTCAATCTATACCATGGGAAAAAAAAATCAAATCAAATCAAAAAGAGGTGATGGAAACTAAGTGAATTTCTTGGCAAGAACACTGCTATGTGAAGCTAAAAAAAAAAAAAACATGAAAAAAATCAAAATGGTAGAGAGGAAAAACAAAACACTACAGTGAAAAAATTTTTATTACTATACCTGAAATTTCAGCAAAAGAAAAAAGAAACGGGAAGTGAAGGAATAATCAAACTACAGGTTATTTGCAGATTTCATCATTTCTCATGTTCATAATCCAAAAGACCCACCAACCATTAGATACAATAAAGGTGCTCACCAAGGTTGCCGTAGACTATAACATTAAACAAAACAAAAAGAAAACCAAACGAAAAAAACCCTAAGATACCAAAAATAACCCCCCCATCTCCACCCACCGGTGGGACAAGGACAAACAAAAACATAATTTAAAAAAATTATTTTTTGCTGTTGATAGACCTTTATTATTTATATGAAGTGTTAAGAATCGAACAGTGCCTCACATATGCAAGTGCGCTATGACTGAGCCATAACCCCAACCCCAAAAGCATAATTTTTAAGAAGGGCTGTAGCTGTAGCTCAGTGGTAAAGTGTTTGCCTGGATGAATGATGCCCTTGGTTCAATCCTTAGCAACACACACACATACACACACAAACACAGCAGACCAGAATGAATACTGTACTACTATTCACAATAATGAATAAATACAAGGTGAAACTGCCAACTGTCCTCAACTTAACCAATAAATTAATGATATTCTCATTAATTCAAATAACTTTTGAAAATTGGCACTGGACAAATGTTTCAAAATTCATATGGAAAATTAATGGTTTCAGAATAGCCAACATAACCCTGAAAAATAAGAAAAAGGAAAAAGAACTTATATATGGAAATAAGGATATTGCACAACTATGGCAATTAAAAAATATTAGTATTGGTTCAGGAAAGTAGAGATGCAGAAAACAGGAAAAAGAACCTGAAACAGATCTCAGAGATTTAGCACTAACCACATTGTAAAGAATAAATCAGTCAACACTTTCATGTTGAGACAATAGTATTTTCATTTATGTTAAGAAATGAAATTAGATTTCCATTTCATACTACTAAGATTTAGATCTTGGTAAATACTAAGTCCTAAGACCTAAATCTGAAATACAAAACCTTGAAGCTATTAAAAGACTCAGAACATTTTCATAGTCTCAAAGTAAAGAAGGTGATAATAATAGGAGAGCATCAGAGGCAATGAAAATAATTACAACTACCAAATAGCTTATTCGTAACATGAAAACTAATAACATGACCTACTATACAATAAGGATGATATTAAATATGTCAAATTCTTAGAACACGGGCTGGGGTTATGGCTCAGAGGTAAAGCGCTTGCCTAGCATGCGTGAGGCACTAGGTTTGATCCTCAGCACCACATAAAATAAAAAATAAAGATATTGTGTCCACCTGTAACTAAAAAAAATAAATACTTAAAATAAATTCTTAGAACATGCCTGACATATACTTCTTAATAATATAACATACTAATTATATGAAAGCAGGTAGGTTATTCTCACTTTTTGCACTAGTAAAATGAATAAGGGTAGCACAGGTAGCAATGCAGAGAACAGTAAAGTGTAGCAGTTACGAAGCTACTCCAATTGTTCAAACAATAGCAATAGTGATGGAAAGAAGTTTGAGGGTAGATTTCATAGGACCCAAGAATAGATAAGACACGATCAAGTGTCATCAACGACAATTCCTAGGTTCCCAAATTGTTGAATGTTAATGTGGGAATGCAGTCAATTGAGATGAGGGTGAAAGTACTAAGAATGTTTTTTATTCCTGTTGTTAAAGTTCTATCAATTAAGAATCAAATAATACAAGCCAAAAATATCTTTTAAATTACTATTGGTTTTGTAAAATATTATTTCCATGTTTTTTAAAATTCTTAAAGGACAACAACAACAAAAACTGTTTCACACCATTCCTCTACTGTATTTACAAATGTTTCTTACCATGATTGGCTTGCCCTGAAACGTTTTAACTTCTTCTCTTAAGTATTTAAAAGCCTGTTAATGAAGCAGAAAGGAACTTTCATAAATATTTAGACATTTCATTAAAGCTATTTTTATTCTATCAACATTTTGGGATTAGCAATTGTTTCTAAATAAAACAACAGTCTGAAGGTGACAGAATGAAAAAGCAAAGAAAAAAAATCTAAGCCTTTCTCAGCTACAGTTCCAAGTATGGATTGCCAGGCACGGTGGTGCTTGCCTGTAATCCCAGCAGCTTGGGAGGCTGAGGCAGGAGGATCTTGAGTACAAAGTCAGCCTTGGCAACTTAGTGAGGCCCTAAGCAACTCAGAGAAACCCTATCTCTAAAGTTCAAAAAAAAGCTGGGGATGTGGCTCAACTTGAGGTTCAATTCCCATTACCAAAAAAAAAAAAAAAAAAAAAAGAAAGAAAGAAAAGAAGATCTAGTATAGATTACCACAGACAAAACACATCAGATTCAAAACAGAAATATCACTAGATAGCAATTTAAAAACTATTCAGATAATCTTCTAAGACAATTAAAAATCTTGTTAACTTTACAATGCAAACACAGCTATATTTTTGTTTCAAAGGAATATTATTTCTCTTAGCTTTAAGAGGGAAATGTTAACAACTAAGAGTAAAACATTAAAGTCAAATTTCAACATTTTAGAAATTACAGGTCTACCTACTATCTACTAGAAATACCAACAATTGAGAACAGAGCTCCCAATCTCCACAGTAACTTTGATAAATGTAATATACTATTTATTTTTTTAATCCAGGGCCTTGTGCATGTGAGGCAATCACTCTACCAACTACTTTTTTTTTTTTTTTTTAATTTGACAGGAAACAAACAGTTCTTAAATGGAAACTAAGGAAGCTTTATGAAGATGACCAAAAAAGATACCAGTTAAGCAAGAGTAAAAAGGTGACCAAGGCACTCATAAGTTTTTAAAAACACCCGTGTAAAGCCACTGAGGTGGTGCATGCCTGTAATTCTAGTGGCTCAGGAGGCTGGAGAACAGGAATTCAGAGTCGGCCTCAGCAAAAAAGCAAGGGGCTAAGCAACTAAAACCCCATCTTTAAATAAAATACAAAATAGGGCTGGGGATATAGCTCAGTGGTTGAGTGACCCTGAGTTCAATCCCTGGCACACTCATAAATAAATAAATACAAATAAAAGCACCAGTGTATGCACATATTTTTTCTTTCTTTTTAAAAAAAATATTTATTTTTCAATTGTAGCTGGACACAACACCTTTATCTATCTATTTATTTATTTTATCGAACCCAGGGCCTTGCATGTGCTAGGAAGGTGCTCTACTGCTGAGCCACAACCCCAGCTCCTTCTTTTCTTTTTTTTTTTTTTAAAACATATTTTTAGGGGCTGGGGTTGTGGCTCAGCAGTACAGTGCTCATCTAGCATGTGTGAGGTACTGGGTTTGATCCTCAGTATCACATAAAAATAAATAAATAAAATAAAGGCACTGTGTCCATCTACAACTAAAAAAATATTTTTAAAAAAAGTTTTAGTTGTAGATGGACACAATGACTTTATGTATTTTGATGTGGTGTTGAAGATCAAACCCAGGGCATCACACATACTAGGCAAACACTCTTGTCACTGAGCTACAACCCCAGGCAGTACACATTTTCTTAGTTAACATATACTGTGACTTCTCTTACAACCAGGACTATAACAAGAAAAGTTTTCTCCTTACCTGTTGTGCATCTGTGTCTGACTGAAAAGTGATATACCAGTTGCTATTATGTGCAAACTCACAGCTTATCACTTTGGGGCAGTTTTCACTTTTAAACAAAGCTTTCACTTCCTAAAAAAGAAAAATCACAGTCAACTTTTCTTTTTGATTTTCTGGTAAGGTTGAGCACTTCTTCACATCTTTTGGTCCTCAATCCCAAGTACAAATAGAAAACAAAAGATATTTACACTAAAACTCAAGAGTGGTCAGTTAACATATTTAAAGATACTTAATATAAAGAAACAACTGAAAGTAAAAAAGTATGCATACTTTTAAAGTATACATACATACATACATAAAGTTAAAGGAAAAGAAAGAATATGCATTAAAATACCATCAAAAGTCACTGACTTAACCCCAAACCAACCCATGTTCAAGTTATTTTTACCAACTCCATTTTTACCAATGAAGTCCACTGAACCTACTTATTACAAGTATGAAGAGAAATGTAATAATAACCAAAAATTTCCAAGTAAGAGAATATGATCAGGTTAAACTGCACCCACAAAATATCAAAGCATCATTATAGGCATCAATTTTTTTATATTTATTTTTTAGTTGTAGTTAGACATAATACCTTTATTTATTTTTATGTGATGCTGACGACCCAGGGCCCTGCATGTGCGAGGTGAGCGCTCTACCACTGAGCCACAAACCCAGCCTCTAGGCAATTTTTTAAGATAAAAGCTGACGGGAATATTGATGACAACAGTGAAGCCTAACCAATATACTTCAAATTTTTAAGACACTGAATTTATTTATTTTTAATATTTATTTTTTAGTTTTCGGCGGACACGACATCTTTCTTTGTATGTGGTGCTGAGGATGGAACTTGGGCCGCACGCATGCCAGGAGAGCGCGCTACCACTTGAGCCACATCCCCAGCCCAAAGACACTGAATTTAAAAAAGAATGTTCTCATTGTGATAAATGACATTGCATCAAATGTTTGAAATTTTAAAAAGTGGAAAACCATCAAGTTCTATAACTTTTGTGAAAGTGGTAAATTATCATCAACTTCAGTTTAGAAAATCACCATGTAATCCCAAAATTATATCACTGAAGATCTGTATGAAACTATTAGGTTGCCACTTACTACTGATCTTTACTTTTAAAATATCATCAATACTGTATATATTTCTTATTCCCTTAAAATGTCTAATGAATTCATTTTAAAAGATTTTAATAAAATGCCTATTTTCCACTTTCATCATTCCACAGTAAATTATGTTCACAGATTTACTTTTGCAAGCATTAAGAGGGGAAGTCTGGACTTAGAGTAAGCAAAAATTTATTTTGCCAGGAACCTTAAAGGGTCACTACCTCGACTACTTATTTTAATAAAAATTTCAGTGATCATTGCCTACATTTATTTTATCTGGCTATTTTAATCATCTATACTTCCTTTACTTTTTTGGTAATATTGTTCACTATCACCTTGTTTTATTATGTACGTAAACTCTTTATGTATTCAGAATAAAAATTAAAATAAATACAAAATTAACAAAGAGTATTTTATGTACCAGGTCATTACTCTAAGTTTCAAAGATCTTGTGACAGTTTCTTTTCTAATTTCTCTCTGCTTCTTTCTCTGTTTAGGAAATCTTCATTCTAGATACTGAATAATGAATGACTTTGGGTAAAAAGATTAGCTACTAAGGCATCATTATTTACTATGTGGCAAGGGACTAAAAATTCTAAACATAGCTAATAAATTACAATAAACAAGTTAATGATCAATTCTCAACTTTTTAGATTTAGTCTTAAAATGGACACAGTGGTTAAGAAACACAGGCTTCTGAATCAGATGATCAAGTTTAAATGTAGACTCTCTCATGTAACTGCCCATTTATCCTTGGACAAGTTACTCAACCACTTAAAGATCAGTTTTTTTTTTTGGGGGGGGGGGGGGGGGGCTGGGGTTGAGGCTCAGCAGTAGAGTGCTTGCCTAGCACGGGGAGGTGCTGGGTTCGATCCTCAGCACCACATAAAAATAAACAAACAAAAAAAATAATAAAAGTATTGTGTCCAACTACCCCCCCCCCCCAAAAATCAGTTCTTTATCTTAAAACAAGTTATAAAACCCCTGGCTTCTCATTTTCCCCTGCACTGGGGATTGAACCCAAGGGTATTTTACCACTGAGTTACATCCTAGTCCTTTCTATTTATTATTATCTTTTTTGAGTAGTGGGGATGGAACCTTTTTATTTTTTGAGTCTTGCTATAAATTGTCTAGCATGGCCATGAACTCGTGATCCTCCTGCCTCAGCCTCTGGAGTTGCTGGGATTATACAGCATACACCACTATGTCTAGCTCAAACATTATATTCTTATACCTGTATCATACCACCTTTATGACTACAGCTTTGCTTTATATTTTGCTAACCAACAGAGTTGATCTCACATCATTAGTACTTATTCAAGATTCTTTTTATCCATTCTTCCAGATGAATCTATAAGTTCTCAAAATAGCCCATTTATAATTTATTAATTTATTTTTTGGTACCAGGGATTAAACTAGGGACACTTAGACACTGAGCCATATCCCCAGTCCATTTTGTTTTTAAAGACAAGGGTCTCATCTTACTACATTGCTTAGGACTCACTAAGTTGCTGAGGCTGGCTTTGATCTTGCAGTTGTCCTGCCTCAGTATCCAGAGTTGCTGGGATCACAGATGAGTACCAGTGCACCCAAATCCCCATTTATATTTTTAACTGTAATTGAGTCACACCAAAAAATTCAGAATTTCATTCACTGCTTAGCCTACCCTTCCAGAACATAGAATTATATGTTTTTCTCCCTCTGTTTTTCTAATGTCAGAATTATCAAAACAAATTAATATTTATCCTATAGACAGTAACTAACACAGGGCACTGTCTTATGTTTTGCTTATGTACCTCCTCCAATTTACACAGTTAAAGAACATTTAACTTACAAATGATTAATGAATGATTTACCTCTACTGGTGTTGTTTCAGGAATCTCTCTGAGAATGACAATACAACGTTTATGACTTGGTCTCACCTTCTCGCCCTTCTCATCAACTTGTACCATAGGAGAAGCTGAAATTTTAAAAAGTGATCTCATTTGTGACAGGTGGTGATGTTAATAACACCATTAAAAAACCATGCATTTTAATTTCCATAGAATACATTAGCAGAGGCTAGGTTAATATAGCAAACATAAGTTACAATTTTTTTTAAAAAAAACAGAGGTTTATATGCAAAAAACATTAAATATTCAGAGTATGTACTTTGGGGGTTGGGGATGTGGGTCTGGCATGTGTAAGGCCCCAAGAAAAAACAAACAAAAGAAACAGAGTACATACTTCAACTTAGCACTGTGTTGACGCTAAAAAGAAACCTTTGGAGAGCACGAAGCACCTATAATTATGATTTTAATTAATTAATTAGTTAAGGGCCTCATCTAAATATATTTACTTTTATATTCTACTATAAAGATCTAAAACCCATTTAGATGTTGGTTTTGAGGAATCCCATTGTCAAAAGTTTTATTTCTACCTCTTTCAGAAGATGTCACACATTTCTCTGAACAGGTATACAAAATTAAAAACAAAAACAAAACTGCAACCCAGTTAAGAGTTCAAATGCGGGGCTGGGGATGTGGCTCAAGCGGTAGCGCCCTCGCCTGGCGTGCGGGCGGCCCGGGTTCGATCCTCAGCACCACATACAAACAAAGATGTTGTGTCCGCCGAAAACTAATAAATAAGTATTAAAAAATTAAAAAAAAAAAAAGAGTTCAAATGCTTGAGTTTTAAACTAAACAGGAATAGGTCTATTTGCCAATCTTCTATGTAGATAAGACTGAGTCTTTTTCAGAAATGATGTCTAGACAAACCAATTAGAAATTTCATAAATGGTGGTAGCCTACTACGAATGGAAATCCTCTATTTCTATAAGACTCTTACTACATTTTTTATACTAAATTTTTGCATATTTTGAACACATTTCACATAAAAGTAAAGATCTGCCTTTATTCAGTCAAGTAGTTTGTTAACAAAATCTACCTGTTACAGCAAATATTAATATAAGACATAAACACCACTAAAAATTCTTAGAGCCTCAACCAAGAAATATAAATTCTTTACCAAATTTCAGAAGTATTTGTCAAACTGTAGGTCACAACTCATGTGTAAGTCACAAAATCACTTTAGGACAAAAGAAATGAGTTTGTTGCAAATATACAGTATTAACTTGTAAAAGTGACATTTCAATTGTGTGTAGTAGATATGTGGCGAGTTTATCTGACTATAATGTAAACATTCACCTTACGTAGGTTCAAAAGTTTCAAATAGATCGCTTTACAAGGTGTTAGGAATAAGCTTTCTAGTAGCCCATGAAATGAGATTTGATTGTTTACACTTGCTAAATACAACTGACATAGAAGCTGTATACATACACATATATACCATCCTGGCCAGTAAAAATATTTTATTAGAAAAAAATAGAAATAAACAGTAAGATGAGTTAAAACAATTCCCTGTATCATAAAAAAAATCCAAAAAAAAATATTTAACTTCTTAAGTTTTAAAAATAAGCTAAAAGGTTATTGTTTACATACATCTCAACACTTCAAGAATTAGATCAGGATCTGTGGTCAATTTTTTTATCTCTTCCATGTTGGCAATTGTCCAAATTGGGACGAACTGATCACTATCCATCTGAGATATCAAATAAAGATCCTTTGACAAGTTTTCTCTGAAACGAATAAACAAAAGCAATATAACAAGCAATTTTTAAAAAGCATCTATGGAAAAAAATGTACCTTATTCACTTTTGTCACTATGTCTAGGGAAACAAAATTATGCTATTAGAATTAACATAGTAAACGTTGAAAAATCCATTTAAAAGTTCATGTTCAAAGATACCAACATAATATACATTGGTAATCTTTCATAAAGTTTCTGGATCCCTAAATATACTTGGCCCCATAGTTCTGGACAAGTGATTTTATTGAATTATATAAAAAATGCTTAATATTAAACGGCATATTACAAAGTATTAGATAGTGCATAGTTCCATTTTATACACAATTTACCATCAATATTAGAATATGCATATGAGAATTTTTCTAGGTGCAGAGTCAGTACTGGGGATTGAATGAACCTACAGCCTTCGGCATGCTAGGCAGTCACTCCTTTTTAATTATATTTCAAGACAGGGTATCACCAAAGTAGCCAGGATAGCCTTCACCTTGAAATCCTCCTGCCTCAGCCTCCTGAGTAGCTGGATTACAGATGTGCCCCCATTGAGCCTACCTGGAGGTTTCTAAATGTATAATCTGCATTTATTAGCATGTTTAACCTTTGTAACTTAAAATATATATTTAAATGAAGAAAATAGTTTTCTAAGATACATTTTAAAAAAAGATACAAATACTTCTATCTTACACATACAATCTTTTTTAACAAATTGAAATAAATTAAATTCCTGTCTTTTTATTCATATCAAATATTCTTTGAAGCAGACTAGCAAAATTTGCTAGAAGTTTGTGCTCCCTTCTCAGATGCCTGACCTAACTGCCATATTTAAAACCACATAGAGGGGCTGGGGATGTGGCTCAAGCGGTAGCGCGCTCGCCTGGCATGCATGCGGCCCGGATTCGATCCTCAGCACCCCATACAAAGATGTTGTGTACGCTGAAAACTAAAAAATAAATATTAAAAAATTCTCTCTCTCTTAAAAACAAAACAAAACAAAACAAAACAAACACATAGGCACTTTGGAATTTCTTTCCTTTGCTTAAACCGTACTTTAAATTTTTTCCCACAGCAATGTTCAAACATATTACTATAAACTACTTAATTATATTGCTTATTGTTTCCTGTCCCCACACCAGAATATGGGTTCCATGAATGATATTCTTTTGTTCAGTGTTTAAAAACCTTGTGTCCAGCTGGCTATAGTGGCCCATGCTTGTAATCCTAGCAAATCATGAGGCTGAAGCAAGAGGATTACAAGTTCAAGACCAGCCTCAGCAATTTAGTAAGACCCTCAGAAAATTAGGGAGGCCCTACTATCTCAAAGTAAAAAATAAAAGGATGTAGCTGGGCTGGGGCTCAGTGGTAGTGCACTTGCCTGGCATGTGTGAAGCACTGGGTTTGATTCTCAGTACCACATATAAATGAAACATATTAATAACATCCTAATCAACAAGAATAATGAATATACTTGAAAATTAGATAACCATAAACAATTTTTGCACAACTAAAAGGCTGCAGCCTAAACCTACCCTGTCTTTTGGCAGATCTATTATAATATAAATCATGTGTCAAAATTTGCTATTAAACTTTAATAATAATACCTTTGGGGCTGGGGATATAGCTCAGTTGGCAGAGTGCTTGCATCGCATGCACAAGGCCCTGGGTTTAATCCCTAGCACCACCAAAAACAAAATCACACCAAATAACCAACCAACCAACCAAACAAACAAAAAACTACTATACCTTTTCAGAAGTAAATAAAAATAATTGATATAGCATCTCAGACTTACCTATTCATGAATAATATTTGACATATTAATGGCAAGTTGTTTTTTGTTTTTTGGGTTTTTTTGGAGGGGTAGGGGGTGGGGCCAGAGGAGTGCTGGGGATTAAACCTAGGGGTGCTTAATCACTAAGCCACATCCCCAGGCTGGCCCCAGTTGGCCTTCTGCCTCAGCCTTGAGTTGCTGGAATTACAGGTGTGTGCCACAATGCCTGGCTTTAATGGCAATCTTGCTGAGCTACAAATGATAACCACCTGGCTGGTCTGAACAGCATCACAGTCTTAGACATGATGTACTATATCATGTGCAAGAGCTCCTACTACCAACACTAAAAAAGCTTGGATAAATTACAAGAATTATGTTTTGAAAGATAATAGGAGAGGTGTGGAAGCTTCAAAGACAAAAACAACTAATATTAGAAAGACCTTATGGAGTGCATTTGCATAGAGGAACTATACTGAGCAAAAAAAGAAGCCAGCAGAGCTTTAGGCAGTTATGTATAGTTATGAAGTGTATATACTTGACACATGATTAACACTATGAATTGAAAATTACATTAGTTCCCACAACAGAGTTTCCTGAGTTCTAAGGAATATGAGAGATTGTGAGCCAGGCTGAAAAGGCAAAGTAAAATCTGTGTGGTCCCAATGGAAACAGAACCTGCATGAAACAAGTCTCCCCAGCAAAGCATTTGCCAGATGTAGGTTGTATGGGTTAAGAAGATAAAGAGCTAACTTCAAATCTCTGAAAAATTAGTGATGTTCCTAATGAAGAGAAACTGGAGGAACTATGTCTAATTAAAATGGCTGCTCAGATTTGATCCAGTTCAATTCCTGACTAGATTAAAGCAATCAATATTTCATTCTATCTGCCTAATAGAAGCTTAATTCTTGTCTAGATTGGAAAATTGTTACTTACAGCTTACATACTTCTTATATATGTAATGCCCAGCATACAATCAACATTTGTAAGACATGCAAAAAGGCAAAAAACTATGGTGGAGGAGAAAAAGAAAAACTCAGACAACAGATGCAGACCCACAAGTGGTCTATAGAAAAAAAATATATATATATATTTTTTTTGAGATAGGGTCTTGATATTTGTGCAGGTTGGTCTCAAACTCTTGATCTTCCTGCCTCAGCCTCCCTAGTAGCTAGGATTACAGCCATGAAACTGTACCCAGCAACAATAGGTAAAATAAAGTAACTATTACAAGTATGTTCTAGAAAATGAATTATATCATAGGCAGAACTATTAGAGAAAAAAGTCAGGAGACTCTTGCTTTCATCCTGCAAACTATACAAGAACGTAAAGAGGATAATAAGAGGTCTGGGGCTGTGGCTCAGAGGTAGAGCGCTCGACACCACATAAAGTTGTTGTGTCCACCTACAACTAAAAAATAAAAATAAACAAATATTTTGTTTTTAAAAAAGAGGATAATAAGATAAAGGAGTTATTTAGGATAAAGAATTAATTAAACATGGCTCAAGAGTTCATTATGTATAAAGAAGTTATAATGGGAATCTCAGTAGTAGAGCACTTGCCTGGCATGTGTGAGGCACTGAGTTCAATTCTCAGCACCATACATACATACCTAAAAACATACATGCATACATATACGTACATACATAAAAACTGGCACTTTACCTGAGCCACAACCCCCAGCCTCATTTATTTTTCATTTTGAGACAGCCTTGCTAAGCTGCCCAAGTTGGCAACTTGTGATCCTCCTGCCTCAGCTTCCTGAGTCACTGGGATTACAGGTGTGTGCCAAGGCATCTAGATACATAAGACATTGCCTAAATGGACTCTGTATTTAACAGAAGACACTGATAGTATACTCTGCCTATCTCCTTGCTAAAAATAACTATGTTCAAAAGTTACAAGAGTCAATTCCTAAAATCAAAGAAGTATTTTCCCCTACCTCTCCATTAATTTGTCGATTCTTTTTTAAGTTGTAGATGGATACAATATCTTTTAAATTTATTTTTCATGCGGTGCTTCACACTTGCTAGGCAAGTGCTCTACCACTGAGCTATACCCCAGCCCTAATTTGATTTTTAATTTTTGTTTGATAACTACTTTTGAGAACCCTGAGACTGAATATGTTCATAGAAAAAGTATCTAATAGAAACTTCATTATCTTTCTACTGATAACAGATTCTTTGCATATCTAACTGGAGATTACATCTTTAAATTTAGATTAAAAACATACCACAAATGATACCAAAATACAGTACTACAAAGAAATGAGAACCAACATTCTTCTACTCTATTTCATAGGTATTATACTAACCAAATAACTCAAAAAAAGGAAAAATATCAATAAAATTGATTCTGTACCGTGAAAAACAGAATTCTAATTGTTTCTTTAGACATTCTTTTAGGTCTTCTGTAGAAATTGTTGAACTGCTTTCTCCTGATAATAGAAAACAAGAGGGGGAAAAGTTAATACCAAATTATTGTAGGTGATGAAATTTATGTATTGTACTCAAAGTCAAAAAGTATGCACAAATTAAATTTTACCTCAAAAGTGTATTTTTAAATAATATTTATAACAGATTAAGGTCCAATTTCTTCGAATCTTTTTACAGATAAATTTCATATTAGTTTAAAAATTATTTTGCCAAACAAATTAAAAAAAGAACCAGTAATACCAAAAGCGCTTGACTACCACGTTGTAAAACACTGCATTAAACATTAAAAAAAAGTGACAACTATTTATTTCTTTAAGGGGAACTCAAAGTTGAACAAAAGTAACAGTAATCTAAATTGGAAAACAAATTGGCTAAACCAACTGGGACATATTTATATAATTGTATTTCTCTTACTGGTAGTAAATCTGATTTTAGCCTCACTCTTCAAACTCTAAAAAACTTTTCTTCTTCATTCTATGATTTTAGAGTACTATACCTTCCTACTTATATTTACAGAATTCAAACATTCACAGGATCAGATCAACTCTTAATGGCCTTCTGTGCTTTCTACTGTTTAAACACAGTATCTGAGCCCTTTTCTCAGGAAGCAACCATGGAAAAACTGCCACTCTAAATTAGAATCTTACACCATCTTCCAGACTAAAAGCATATAATATGTCCTTTTCTTAAAAAAAAAAAGCATTAATGATAATAGAAACTAACTTTTCTCTAAATAGAGACAATAGGATGAATAGGAAGCTGAATTATCTTTGTCTATGATTTTACCACTAAATTGTCTTGTTACTAAAGAATCAAAGTTACATATTTAGTTAACTTTAATGATTATAAGAAGCATTTTGCCAGGTGCTGTAATCCTAGCAATTTTAGGAGGCTGAGGCCCTAAGCAACTTAGCAAGACCCTATCTCAAAATAAAAATAAAATGGGGTGAGGATGTGGCTCAGTTGACTAAGTGCCCCTAGATTTCATCCCCAGCACACCTCCTGCCAACATTCTATTTCTATGTATATATAATTCACCCGACTGCCAGTTTAATAAGCTATCAATTTGGTTAGCCTTCCGATGACCATTATAGCAAACTCTAAAACACCAAGGGGTTGTCACATCACTTAAACCAACTCCATGTTCAAAATGGATAGTGGTTAACTTTATTAGAACTACAGGCTAGAAGAACTCCCAATCTTAAGTTATCATGTGAGAATACCTCATTTCAGAAATTATCTTTTAAACCAATGGATTTAAAAAATGTAGTCTGAATGCCTATAATAAGGTAATGAGGACAAAAACTTATAGACCTTGCCTGAAGAGCTACATGAATGTGGAAAACAAATACCTACTCCATATTACAATTATTGTTCAATAAGACCCTTTAAGCTGGCATGTTGGCACACGCCTTTAACTCTAGCTACTCCTGAGGCTAAGGCAGGTGAATAATGAATTTGAGGCCTCCTGGGCAACACAGTAAGACCCCATGTCAAAAACTAACACAAAATCTTACATCTTAGAAAAATAAAGGTAGCAAATCCAGCTTTTTGATTCATTTTTAGTTTCTTTTGAAAATTTCATCCACCATAAAGTCAAGTGAAAACTACTCCATTTCAATTAAAAGAATGTATATATATATATATATATATATATATAGCCTACAGGTTAAACTGCAGTGGAACTTGTGTGTTTAGTAATCTCAGCTGGGCATGGTGGCACACGCCTATATTTCCAGCGACTGAGAAAGCTGAGGCAGGAGGACTGCAAGGTTGAGACCAGCCTCAGCAACTTAGGCCCTAAGCAACTTAGCAGGACTCTGTCTCAAATAAATAAACAAACAAACAAATAAATAAATGGATGGGAAAGTGGCTCAGGGGTTGAGTACCCAGGGCTCTGTCTCAAATAAACAAACAAACAAATAAATAAATGAATGAATAGTGGGCTGGGGATATGGCTCAGAGGTTGAGTGCCCTTGGGTTAAACTCCCAGTACCCACCCACCAAAAAAAAAAAAAAAAATTCAGCAATTGAATATCTATCTATCTGACAAAAATGACAGGAAAATTGACAGAACTTGTAATGACTCTAACTAAGTCCGAAAAACTTAAACTTATGAAAGGTTGCAATTTAGGTCTCTTAACTTCCTTCAGTAGGACCCTCATAAAGTAAATATTATTTTTAAATTATGTATTTCATGTTTGGGTATTTTTAACATTCACCTAACATGTAAGAAAGTTTTTCAAAGAAAAGAACTGAATAATACCATATGTTTATCATAACAATAACTATGAAAGGCTAGAATATTAAATTATCTTTTTTTTAGTTTTCGGTGGACACAACATCTTTGTTTTTTGTATGTGGTGCTGAGGATCGAACCCGGGCCGCACGCATGCCAGGCGACGCACTACCGCTTGAGCCACATTCCCAGCCCTTAAATTATCATTTAAAAAAACAATAGAACAACAAAGTTTACCAGAAACATCATATATTTGGTAACTCAGCTCTTCAGGTCCTAATATCATTCCATCAGTTGATTCTTCAATGCCTGTAGTGTTTCTTGTGGTTTCACAAGATGGAGAATACATTACTTCATATTCCTTACACATATCTTCTGAAAGCTCAGCATTTCCTGTATTCAAGAAAAAATAGTGAAAGTAAATAGGAATTCTTTAAATCCTACCTTCAAGAATTTTGGTCAGTACGTCTTCTACAACACAATTTCAATGAATTCTACCAGTCAGAAAAAGTTTCCCATGGTTTTAAGTTAACAGTATTTCCTCAAGGGAGTAAGGTTTCACCATTATAGACATGGTAAAATGATTAACAATAACTAAACTCATATAGCACTAGCTATGTATCTGACTACTCAAATGAATTCTATCCACTTAATTTTCAGAAAATCTTATGCTGTAGGCAATTATTATTTGATTTACAGATAAAAGAATATGTAAGCACAGAAGTCTTTTGTCCAAATTTTAACAATGAGTAAAAAGCAGAGCCGATGATGGCAATTCAAAATTAACTTATAAACCAATTATAAATGATAAGTATATTATAAATGGGTTAGATACTGGACCCAGTCACAGATACTACTTCAAATAGTGACGATATATACAAACAACACATAAAATATTTACAAATCAATCTTGTAAACAATCAAAGGATGTATTCCAAGTTCTACAGACTGGTTTGGCATTACCATTTAACTTAAATGTAATTTTTCCAATGAAACATTTAGGACTTACCTTCAGGATGAGACCCTGATGTGGCTGCTGTTTCATGCCAAGAGCTTTCAGTTCCATGAGCTACAGTAGTGGCATCAGGAGTTCCAGGAGGAATTTCTTGCCATACTTTGGCATTAGGATTTAAACCAGTTCCTTTAGATGTTACCTGCTAAATAATCAAAAGATCTATTTATGAATTTTAGAAATGGGAGTGAAATTGTAAATTTATACAAAAGGTTTTTGCATTACTTAAATGTGAAAAAAAACCCCAAACAGTATTAAATAATTTAATATTAAATAAATATTATAGTTTCTGATCAACTTTGAAAATTAATATTAAACTCTATTTTTGTGATACTAGGGATGAAACCTAGGGGTGCTTTTCCATTGCGCTAAATCCACAGCCCAATTTTTTTATTTATTTAGCCATGCCTCATGCATGCCAGGCAAGTGCTTTACCACTGAGCCACATCCCTGGTCCTTTTTTATTTTCAGTCATGTTCTCACTAAATTGCCCAGGTGGGCCTCGAACTCACTGGGATAATAGGCCTCTGCCACCAGATCCAGCCCAGAAAATGTAATAAAAAATATGTATCTTTGTAGAATACTACTAAAATACCCTCTTACACGATCTACTTGACAGTTACATAAAAATTTATTCAAAGTACTACTATATCTTCAAGATATTAGTGTTTATCTAAAGCAAACTTTGAGTTATCTACAGCAATTTTCCAGAATATAATTTTTATTGTCATCTAAGTTGTGACAGAGGCCTCTGAGTCTGAATGATTATCACTGAAAATGTTATCAAGTCAAGAACTGTGGTCTGCTCTCTTCCATCTATCCTTAAAGTGTATATTCTTAGTGCCCACAACGTAATTATTTAAAGCATTACCATTTAAAGAAATCTTTTGCGTGCATTATTTAATCACAAACACAGAAGAGACTGAACATGGGGGAAGAAGAAGAAGGGAGAAGTCTATGAAAAGATGGAGATGCTGAGAAATGAAGAGAGGGGTGGGATGCACAAATAACACTTCTCACTTTATTCAACCAAATGACAGGGCTTGATCCTTCTCAAGTATATAAGGACACAGAAAATTTCATTCCCTTTCTAGAATTTACTTTTGTCTTTTCTGCCAAGGTCCCACCCCTGGATCGTAGGCACCAGAAGATGGATCCACATGGCAGAAAATTAATGAGCCCAAGGTTATGACCTACAGGTAATAGGGATTCAGCTTTCATGAAAACTGGCAAATGCTGAACTATTTATTAGGTTGTCATGAATTCCCTATTGGTCCTGGCTCAAAGGGCTTAAAAAAATAAAAACCCGCTTTTTAAAAAAATATTTTTTTTTTAGTTGTAGTTGGACACAATACCTCTATTTTATTTATTTATGTTTATGTGGTGCTGAGGATCAAACTCAGGGCCTCATGTGTGCGAGGCAAGAACTCTACTGCTGAGCCACAACCACAGCCCCAAAACCAGCTTTTTAAGGTATCACCAACACTCAAATATGCTCAACAAAGATAAAATTTAGTGGATGGAACTGCAGAACCCCAAGGCAAAATTGCTGATTTAAGACACAGCTTCTGGGCTGGTTTGTGGCTCAGTGGTAGAATGCTTAGCCTGACACATGTGAGGCACTGGGTTGGATCTTCAGTACCACATAAAAAATAAGTATCCATTTATATAACTTTTAAAAAAAGCTTCCGGGAGGCCTAATTACATTTTCTGTATTTATTTCTGCAATTATGTCCCATGAAATTCCTCTGCACTCTAATAATAAACCCATTTGTACTCAAGTTTCTTTTTGAGTTTCCATATGGTACAACTAACATGACTTATATGTAGGGAACCAATGAAATAATAGTTTAATTACACTCTATTGCTTACCTAATGTTTTCTAACCACCATATTTCAAACACTCTACCTCAGAGCTACATGCTTACTTAACCCTTCATGTTTTTTAAAAATTGGGTTCTTTTGGTTCATCAACCAAAAAATGTTTTTAAACTTAACACAGGAAAAAAAGAGACAGACACAAATACCCTTTTCCATGCACAGGTCCACTCAATATCTTAGGAGCCAGGGCTGAAGCTTTGAAATTGCAATGGTAGTAGTGAGTAGTTTATCACTGACATAGTTCAGAATTTCCTGTTGTAGGACAACAACAAGCATATACCTTTCAGTCAAGTTTTATTACTGTATTAAATTTCTCTACAGCTGGGCTGAGGATATAGCTCAGTTGGTAAATGCTTCCCCTGAATGCACACAGGCCTGGGTTCAATCCCTAGCACCACACACACAACACACACAGGCACACACAAAAATCTCTACAGCCAATAGCTGCCTCTCCAGCTTCCTGCCTGCACCAAGGCAGTACTCCTGCACTCTGCTTTTGATAGGCACTGATTGATTGGTGATTATGATTTGGAAATTTAGGTACAACATAACTTCAAATTCTCCCTCTTTCCTCAATTCTGATAATACTAGATAGGTCTACACCCAAGAAAACAGCAGGTATAATAGCACACTTTTCAGAAAGAGGTATCAAACTTCTCAATCTTTTTTTTTTTTTGGTTGTACTAGGGATTGAACCTGGGGCACTCTACCACTGACATGCATCCCTAGTACTTTTTATTTTAAGGCTGGGTCTTATTAAGTTGCCCAAGCTGGCTTTGGGGATGACAGACGTGTGTCACCATGCACAGCTACAATAGTCATTTAATGAATAAGACCTGGATGTGAAAAATATGCAGTGGAAGGGTCATTTACTTACAAGAAGCACCCCTGATTCACAGGATTGCTATGCAAAGTTGTATAGGGCTTTAAGTAAAGCAAAAGAGTTATTTCAGTTACTATTTAAACATATAATGATTGAGGCCCTAGAATCACATATGAATTCCAAACAGCTCTTACATGAACTTGGAATAATGTAACCCTGAGAAAAATCTCTCACCTAAGCCTAAATTACAAATTGAGGTAAGAATTCTTTATTTTAAACATTAAAGTACATTAACACTTGAAAAGCAGTTAACATTCGTATAAATACTTTATAAACTTTTTAATAAAGCATGTGGTTTTGAATGGAAAGCAATTCTGCTCTTACCCTCAAAAGTATACATGAAAACTAATATGTTTCATCAAAATAACTACGAGATGAAGTTCAAGTTAAACTTATGTCACAGAGGCTGGGGTTGTGGCTCAGTAGTAGAGCGGTTGCCTAACACATACAAGGTTCTGGGTTCGATCCTCAGTATCACATTAAAAATAAATAAATAACATTATTGTGTCCAGCTACAATTAAAAAATATTTTTAAAAACCCTATGTCACAGAAAATTAGCTTTAAAAATAAGACACATTGCAAAAGACGATTACTATAGAATAATATAAAACTGCAACAAGAAAATAAAAAAATATGACAAAGAAAGCAAAAATCACAAAGGAAAAACAACTTTATTTTTAACTATGGAACACCAAGTTATTATGAGTAGCATCCCAATTTTCAGAGAGGTAAAAATGAACAAAAATATGCATTTTAGAATCCATTCAAACTATATACTTTGAAAAAGGCTTTCAAGTAACGGAGGGGAAAAATGTAAGCACCATAACAGCAGCAGCAAATGTAATAAGCAATTCTGTAAGCTAGGCAACTGTACTAAATGGACTTTTTTTTTTGGGGGGGGGGGGGTACTAGGGGCACTCTATGACGTCCCCTGACTTTTTTGAGTCAGGATTCTACTACATTGTCCAGGAACTTGTGATCCTCCTGCCTTAGCCTGAGTTAGCTGGACTACAAGTGTGCACAACCATGCTTGACCCATCTCACCAAACTCTTGCAACAACACATTATAAGCACTCCTATTTCCTCTTACAGATTAACCCATTTTGAGAGAAACACAGGGAAAAAAAAAAAAAAGACAGAAATGGACGTGGTCCTGAACTTGATCCCTAACAAGTGGGTGGGTGAGTTCGCTCTTAAGCATAGGACAGAAAGACTGTTTGAAGTCAGGATCAAACCCAGGAAGCCTGACTCCAGAAAATCTTTATATTATCTTCTATTCTTGCTATGTGCAGGACTGAAAGACAACATACTCCCTTTTCAAGTATACCATTAATTCCAATTCTTTCTAGTTTGCACTATTGATAACAAGCAATGGCTTTCAGTCTAGTTGCCATTCTTCATCTTTTTTACTGTTTGCTTAATCTTTTTTATTATACATTTTTAGTTGTAGTTGAAAACAATACCTTTATTGTATTATTATTTTCATGTGGTGCTGAGGATTGAACACAGCACCTCACATGTGCTAGGAGAGCACTCTACCGCTCAGCCACAACCCTAGCCCTCTTTTTTTTAATTGTTTTTAGCTGTAAATGAACACAACACCTACCTATCTATCTATCTATCTATCCTGAGGATTGAACCCAGTGCCTCACACATGCCACAACCCTACCCCTTGCCTCACACATGCCACAACCCTACCCCTTGCTTAATCTTTTTAGTGATATTCTGCCATTTTTTTATTGGTTGCTCAAAATATTACAATGATCTTGACATATTTCATACATTTGATTCAAGTGGGTTATGAATTCTTATTTTTACCACGTGTACAGATTGCATACATACTTCCATACTAGTATCTGTTGTATTCTGCTGCCTTTCCTATCCCCTTCCTATCCCCCCTCCCCTCCCCTCCCATCTTCTCTCTATACCCCATCTACTGTAATTCATTTCTCTCTTTTTTTCCCCTTTCCCCTCACATCCTCTTACACATAATTTTGTATAACAATGAGGGTCTCCTTCCATTTCCATGCAATCCCCATTCTCTCTCCCATTCCCTCCCACCTCTTGTCCCTGCTTAATGGTAATCTTCTTCTCATGCTCTTCCTCTCTATTGTTCTAGCATAATCTGCTCTAATGCCATCCATTTCCCTGCAAATGCCATGATTTTGTTATTTTTTAGTGCTGAGTAATATTCCATTGTGTACAAATGCCACATTTTTTTTATCCATTCATCTATTGACGGGCATCTAGGTTGGTTCCAGGTATTCTGCCATTTTTTAAGTGTGGAATACTTAAACAACAACAAAAAACAGGGCTGGGATTGTGGCTCTTTTAAATGCCCCAGGGTTCAATATGTAATACCAAAAATGTTAATCATAAA